AGCCTAAAGATTCCCATGAACACATCTCACTCCGCCTGATAGATCATATCCATTATCTAGGATAACATCCTCTACCGATCAAAGCACTAGTTTGAAGGGGTGGCGGTTGACTATTAGGTACATGAGGCAAGATATATTCAAAGGAGATTTATCCCTTTAGTTGGCATAAGACTACAACTCCACGATTACCTAGTAACTGTACTTCCAGCAACCCCTGAGCTCCACTGGCACCCACAAAAGCCTATTTCTAGTTGGCTAGACACCTTTGAAGCCCACTATTAGAGCCTCAATACTTATACGCTTAAAGGGCCTACGCTATCGCCGATGTAGAGTTACCAGTTTGGTGGAGACTGTAGTTTTATGCCCAACTAAAGAGGTATCCAGATAGTGAGGAGGAAAACTTGGCGAACTCATATTGATCTTGACTAGACCCGTGTTCATAAGACTAGAATTCATTTAGGATGAGGTCAAATTAGCCTATTAGTTGTGGATGTAGGACTTGATCTGCCGTGACGGTTGGTTAATATACCAGGTGATCTAACAAGGTCTCAACCAGTGTCACGAGGCGGAACCAAGAGGCTAGGGCAGAACGACGTTGTTGCGAAGGGCTCTGACTAATCCCTTCTAGGGGATGCGGTATACATACATGAACCTTCTTTTGTCTATAGCCAAGAGCCAACTGCCAATAGGGCAGCCTCGTACAGGACGACTCCCGATCCTTCTGGGCTACTATAACCCTGGCGAGACCTCTGACTATCAGCTCTCACGGAGGAGGCTTCTAACAATCAGCAAGTACACTGAATCATACACTAAAAAGGAGGGATTATTCATGCTAAAGAGTAAAGATAGGTAAGTGAACTCGACGGTACTATAGTTGTAAATAATCAACAAAAGAAAGGGGGATTGTTAAATGGCAGGCGGGATCTACCACTTATGTCCTTGCATCAGTGAAGATATGGGTGCAGGAAGAAGGAAACAAGAACAATATGGTACGGGCGGTGACACTACTAGGTAGTGGACTCGTTCCAAAAGGCCCAAGAGTTTGTAGGTAGGGAATTCTCTCTTGCATACGACTAATGACGCCTCTGCTACAGCTATAACGTAAGGGGCATTACTGTTCTACTACCGGACAAGACGTGGGATTGCTAGAGGCTTGGATAGCATATCTCCCCACTCAGATTAATAACTAGGTACTACCTAGTTTCCAATTTATACCTATGTAAGGTCACCATAGTCGTAAATGGAGAATGCGAAGTCCACATGGGGTAATCACAGAGGTATAATTACTTGCAAGGGCTAGCATAATATTAGAAAGGAGTAAGAGAGAGTACCTAATAAGAAGAATATAATTGGCAGAAAAGGTGACAACTCAGATACATCGGCAGCTATCGAGGGAAATTTAATGTATCAGACTCTTATATCCGAGGATAGAGGAAAGGAGTCTAGTGCTTGTCCTCCCCTGAGCGGTTATGATACCATAAATTTCACGAGATATGGCAGCACAGCAGCTCAATTATGAATTCAAATATATTTTATATTATGATTCATAGCAGATGATACGAACTAGTTTCTTGCTTAATCAAAACCCGGTCCTGTAGGTATATATGATGGCAGTTCTCCGCAAACCCCAAACTGTGCAACTTCGACTATCGCTCAGACATTTTTCGTATATACCGACTTCTTAGAAAGCTGATTTATCTTAGAATAGTTTCTTTATCTCTCCTTAGAAGGTATGTATTTACCTACGTAAGCATCCATCAATGTAGTACATGTGCGAAGCTTTGGTGATATTCATTAGCTATGTAATTCGCAACAGTGCTACAGGTTGAAGTTTTTCAAGATATGGCTATATAGATGGCGTACCTAGTATAATAGTACCTACTATCAAAGTGTGCCATTAATCTGCAGATCAGTATCGAAAATTGCCAGTCTAAGGAATAGCACCTGATCGGTGAGTAAATGGTGCCATATCCAATATATTTACTTGACCTGAAGATAGCCGCAGATACCACAATGCGGATCTCACAGATGAGAAACCCGTGAAGCTACATGAGGAACTGATTATCGCCTTACCTGGATAGGTAGGATCGCGGTGTATAATTTTTGCTCCCGTCTACACTAGGTACCTATTCCTTAAACCAGCCACCAGTAGGTTCAGAGCGGGCCAAACTCGGATTCAACTGGATCCCTAGTAACAGACTTATGTTTCAACTTATTGAAAATATAGAGGAAGAGTTTTGATGCGTCTTTATTGTAGTGAGGATAAATGAATAAAAGAAATTGGCCGTATATCGGACTGCTTGTATCTTCTACACGTAGCCTATGTATGTAGACATAAATCTAGCTGTCGGTTGAAGCAAAAGCGCCAGTTGATCTACTCAAATGATGGGCTACTTCCTCATTGAGATCCTCAGGAGCCTAGGGACCAATACTGAGCGCTTATCAGTCAACGTAGTTCCGATGGTAAATTTATATTCGTAATGATGGATGACCGCAGTCCAGAACTACCTATTACTGCTTAAGTACTTGTAGGTGTCTAGTATCTACAGTCAAAAGACACTAATGGGAAATATGGTCGTGGCTATGATACATTCACGTACCTACCTCAGTACATAAGGAAAGACAATTTGTAATTTTCGACTTAAAAAGCTACGTAGCCAAATTAATTTCGATGGTAAACAATTCAAACATGTTCATTATTGAAGTTGCTGGGATTTAAATCCTTTAAGTAGTTCGTAGATCAGATCGAAGAGAATGAGTCCCCTGAATCCTCTAATGGAGATGGCCGCACTGTAATTAGCTTGATAAGCAAGCTAATAAATGATGATTGAAGCGTGAATGAGATTTCGTCTTTATGGTGTCAAAGCCAGGGCTTCGCGACGCGTCGTTCTTGAGGCGTTGAAGCGGTATGATAAGCCACCCTGGCAAGAATTTCAGCTTCGAATTATGTTCTGCAGCCACTTACGGTGGCGGCATCAGATCCTGCAGCAGGTTGCATGATTGCACCAGGGATCTAATCCTTGGATGACTTCACATCTTTGGGAAGATTCCGTTAGTGTTGGACACTTCTCAGCCATACAGTGCTGCTATGGCAAGACGGGGAAACCGGCGCGCCATATGATCATGCATGACCAAACCAACAGGTCTCTCCAACTCCCCGATGTTACACAGATCTCCTGTGTACGCCAATGTCTAGTCTCGGCAACAACATGCCATGTTACTTACACGGTTAAAATAAACGACTTGCGGGGAAGACAAAAGCTCCCCGGACTGACAGCTGTGCGATGTCGTGACACAGTTACCGTCCCCAGAAGGAACGCGTGCTGACTACATTGCTTTTTCTATCCCCTAAAAGCTGACTATGAGCGGACCGAACCCTTACATTGGAGAACGGACAGCAACTTGCATAAGAATACATTACGAAGTTCATCAATTAACTCAGATGTTTTTCTAATGGTCAGGTAGGTATGTAAACATAGGTACTCTTCCGATAGACGTATGGCGTGGACGGGCTTGATAGGGTAGCAACCCACCTTACCACTAATGTTCCCGTGCGCGGTGGCGTCAACCGGGGTCTCTAGAATTCGTATCCGAGCTTAGCGAGTCATAAATAAATACAGTTGAGCGACTATCCAACTTTGTGAGTATGTGTATGCATGGCAGGACGATGCGATCAACCTAGATTGGGATTAATCAAAATGGATATATACTAGCTTGGCCATGAGAATAAGAGTTGATATGATCTTGGGACCCGCTCAAATGTCTCTATCTATAAATGGTTGCGTGCATATAGTAAGTAGGTAGCTCGGATATAGTTATTAGGTGCTGACAAGGATCTATATGCAGATAGTAGTTACCTACCTAGGTATGTAGGTAGGGATTGGTGAGTGATCTAGGGAACCTATGTTCGCCGATCTTAGTGTAGGTAGGCATAGTCCAACGCCCAGTAAGAGCGAGCTCCCTATAATAGGGGATATCAGGACGGTCACGCTCACTAGACATACAACTGCCGAGTATGGCTGGCCATTGCAGCACAATGTCTGAGAAAATTGACAATGATGAACATAGGTATTCAAGTATACTTAGATACTAACATGCGACAATTACTCAAAAGGAAGCTAGTTTCTACCAAGCTAGAGGAAAGTAGAGCGGCGACCACGACGATGACATGGATGACGATATCTCGATGGGGGTAATAACCAAAAGAGAGAAAAAGCAAAGGCCTTTACCGTTCGCACATGCTGTGTCACTACGGATTGCATATTTTAAAATTATATACCTACCTACATAGGTGGACCAAGTCTTTGCAATATGTCTGTGTTATATAGCTGGGGTGGTAGAGATTAGATGAAATGAGCCGCATATACATAGTAGCACAGATAGCTAGAGCGGCTTATCCCGGCATACCAAGGGAACCCCTTGCAACGCTATAACCCTTTGTTATGAGAGGATCTGACCCCAGAGTGACATGCTAGAAGCCGCGTTTAGAGATGATATGTTCTTATCTTGATTCTTAGCTATTTACGCCATCGCCCGGTCGACAAGTCCTCGCCGGTTTCATCTGCATCGATAGGTACAGAATAAGTCTCACGCTACTGCGTTCATAGTACGTGACAACCATCTGGATGTGGAGGTGATCTCCAGCCAGCTCATAAGCCATGAGATACCTATAAAACGCCTCTCACGCATGTGACTGACGTTAGGATTTAACATACGGCATCGATCTAACTTTCGTTCCGCTTTCCACATTACCGTTATGTGCTTGGGAAGAGTCGCATTCCGGCCCTCCGCCCCTTATTATAAGGTATTATGCATTGTATGACATGAATGGGCCGAAAGAAGAACATATTCATTGCCGATCCAGTAACCAAAATTGGATGTAACTATCGGAAGAATGTATTATTCGTTCGCCAAAATAGCCTCACGCTTCAAAAATGGAAGCCCGGTTATTCGACACACCATCCAGTCAATCTCGTTTCCCGGAATCTGTGAATGCAATATTAAAGCGGAATTCACTTCATTCTCCTAGGGCAACATTCCTCTCTGTATGTCGCAATCTTTGACGGTCCCTTTACCTATCCTTCAGCTCATAACTCTTCGGCATTTTGCGGAAGGTCATCTGCCCTTTAAAATCATACATAGTCCCATGGCTCACTCAAGGGCTCATATCTTCGGACCAAGCTCAACCGCTCCGTCTCCCCTTCCGAATCCAGAGATTGGCGCTGCTCGTTATCGACATCTACCCGTCATTTCAATGTGCTACAATATAGACTGAGGCTCAAGTTCATTACTCCAACCACCAGATCATAAGCTATGCCGGATGAATGTTCCGGTGCTTGGAGAGCATAGAGTAATACATATCTTACTTGGTTTAAGATCACCAAACACGGAGACTGGGTCGTTAGGCATCAACTCCCCCGGACATGTAAGCTGACATATACAGAACGATGTAAGAAAAAGCAACAAGGCATCCAATTCGGCTGACATTCCAGTTCCGCACAACTATCAGGTGTATTCAACTAGCCTCATCATGAAGGTTTAATCTTTTCACTGGCATGAGTTGAAGGTAAACAAGTATTTTCCTGCCCCGTATCGCGATTAGCTAGTTGAATCAGATCCTAGGCAGATTCTTTCAAAGAGGCAGTACGGACCGATAGTCCTAGAATTACCACCCATCGCTCGAAGCTACTAAATCATACGATAGGTTAACGTAAACTCAGATAAATCCTCATTGATTCTTCATCTTTTGTCGCTCGGAAGTAGCTAGACCACGTACTGTCCGATCACGTCTGTACAATTTCTGAATCTTCCAGAGCGCCTAGTACTTGCCAGGTATTTGATGGCACATAGCCCTACTCTTAGCAGGCTGCCAAGAATATGAGAATGGACCATTTGGATAGAGGATTTTTATTTAGAACTTCGAGTTAAAAGGTAGGGCGAACCAGGCGTCTATTCTATAATCCGATTTTTGCTAAGTGTTAGCCACCTAAGCTAGTACCTAATGTAATTCATGGAACGATGGCCTTGACGCCAAATCAACGCAACCTCACACTTCTAATCTCCGTTGGATGGGAAGATGGAAAGATCGAGGAACTTGTTAAGCAGCGCTCGGAAGAGTATAGGCAGAGGGTGGAACGAACTCCTGACAGCAACAAATCAACGGAGTATAAGAAAAACGCGACGAGGCGAAAGACCGATACCATAAATCTGAAACTATCTTCGTATGACAGACAAGATTTAGCTTAAATTGCCTGATAAGGCTCCCAAGCTGACTGCATTCTCCCCAGTGGTAGTGAGATGCGACGGCAGATTGGAATCCCTGTAGACATGTCGTACAGCTCCCAGTCTTCCACAAAGTACCTATTTACATCTGGGCTCAACATTAGGACACTATCAAAGAGAAATACCCCCTAGGTCTCACGGGAGACGCCTTGGAACTAGGAATGTTTGGCGCTGTGGGGTTAGACGTTCTAAAAGCCACAACTTCCCTAAGGGTGCTACTACAGCAGAGGCATTGCGGATTTAGAACCACTAACCGGGTTGTTTAAATCGTATGATTTCTCCAACAAAGATAAAGTAGCATAATCACGATGATCTTATATACATACCGCTATATTGGCTGGGTTACAATGTAACCACTTGTTGCACTTCAGAGCCTGCCCCTTTATTGGCTCGTGGCGCAAGAGTTGATAAAGTAAACATGGAAGACTAGAGATGAAACTCTTTCTTGTATGCAGAGATTCGGTATATAGCTTTACTAGTATGTCTTAGAGATGTTTTCCGTTGCAGAACGTTACGACGGTAAAGCAAGGCGTAAACGTAGTGGCTCTGTTGAGCTAGATTAACAGTGGGAAGCCACAATTTGGGTTGATCTTCTCCCCATACTACCTTAATGCAGGTTGTTTAAGATGTTACTAGAACCATCTAGTGATCTACCTCAAATATTGATAACACCGTCAACCTTCGAAGAAATAGGTACGTATATTTGGTTATAATAATCCATGATCTTCATCCAACTTTCAAGTCGGGAAACCCGTGAAACATAGCTGTCTGTTGAGGCACGACTGACGTCTGCGGTATGTAACTAGGAGTTCGTGGTAACCATGTAACCTGCAAGCCCTTAAGAAACGGCTGGACCCGACTAAGAAGAACATCCATCCTGGCTTGTCTGCCTCGGGTCTAGCCTAATTGCCGTCGATGCTCAGCCTTCATGTACTTCTCGAGTACCTACTTAGGTGAACGAAACAGAGACCAAGATCTTTCATGATCAGCTCTCACAGTCCTTCGGTTTTCTTTGATAAAGCAGGCCAAGCCACATTCACGCAAGTTGCGGCGTTTGCTCGCATTCGCTCACAGTTAGGACTTTCGGCTTTCGATAGCGCCAAAGCAATCCGAGTCCCGTCACGTTCTAAGGGCTGTTAAGCTGTGTCGTGTTCAAATAGGTAGGCCAACACCCAAAAGGCGGCAATCCGTATGTATGACCGTGGTGTAAATCTCACGTCGTTAGCTGATTCCTACCTCCCACACTCTTCATCAGTGGGGCCTCTGTCGGATCTACCTCATTGCTTCCCCCCGCTCTTGGTGCTCTGTTCGTTCGCGACCCACTCCAAGGCAGTATATGCCATGGCAATGATTGGGTATGGGACACCTGACTTCTAGAAAGAAATCCGCCCTTCCTTGGTGGACGTTGCTGCAATTAGGCGAAAGGTGGTCGCGCCCGAATGTTGATCCTTTGAGCCTCCAAGCCTTCCTCCCTACTGATAAAAAGGCTCACTTACTCTGTCATCTCCTGTCCTTTAGCAGAAAATACACAGCACTTATTCTTGATCCATAGTCTTTCACCACATAGTAATATCTTAGTATGGCGGGCAAGGATCGAGAGCGTAAACACTTGCGGTTATTTTCTAGCCATCGTCGTCAAAACGTCAAGCCTCGACAGGCACATCGCCGACCTCCTGCGGGCTCCGGAAGTGTACCTTACACGGATGGGATCGCGGAGTCCATGGAGGATAAAATCTCTCTAACGGAGCGTAGTGACATTGACCCCGCGTATGCGCAGACTGATGCCGACATGACGGAAAACTGGGATGCTACCCTCGCGAATCCTTCCGTACATGTATCCTCCACGGGCTTTCTCAGATCTTCGATAACCGCTTTGCAGGAGGGAAACCATGCCAATGCTGCGGCATATTATCTCCCTAGATCCAGCTATGATTTGCATGCGCCGGATAGCTCGCTTGACAATACCCAACTGACTTCGCCGTACTCGACGCACACCACCACGGGTATCGGCACTGCATGGAGCGGGTCGTATCCAACATATCCTTCCTCGAGCGACGGATACGCCACGACCATGTCTACGTCCGGCGATATGATCTCCTACATCCAGCCACAGCAGTACGACAGAGGTCATACTAGTTATGATGTTTCAATAACTAGTTCACCTCCAGGCGTGGAAGTTATGGACGACGACGACAATACGCAAGCCATAGACAACATATCTAGTCAGGACCCGGGTTCAAATACTCAAGCATTGCCAAACCCCTCTTACTCACCGCCTTCCCGACGATGGTCTATTGATAACCACCATGGTTCTACCGTGTAAGTCCAGCCACATCCCAAGGAGGACACAGGCTAACCCCCCCGAAGTGATTTCATACAGGGGGATACAGACAGTCTGTCCGAGGAGCAGAATTCTTCCATCGACGGAAGACCGAGAGGATACAATGCTTCAGATGATAAGAGGGAGTATGACTGGAGAGAACAAGAGTACATGCGTCGTGTGGAACCGTGGAGCTCTGAAAACAGGCTCAACGAGGGTCACGACACCAACAACTCGTATATCTATAACAGGTCTGCGATATATGGCGATGAGAACGAAAGTAATTAAGTAAGCTCGGCAGCTTGCTCAGTGACGACGACCTCTGGTCGCTAATAGCTGTGGGAGTATATCTGATAAAAGTATTTGTAGTTCTGAGGGCGGGCATTTTCCTTTATCTTGCAAGGCATTATACCACTAGCTTATGGCGTTAGCATAGAACATGGTTCATCAGATATGTTTTCGAGACCAACTGGGGATTTAATGTCTCAATATAAGGCCAGCGTCCCATTAGGTAGGATTCGCCACCTCCTGTAGGAGCTGTTATCATATGGTGAACGAAGATATCGCCACGATACACCGCCGGACTGGACACGGCTGACGATTTCTCCCTAAGCGCTAGAGCCGATATCCATTCACAACCTTTCTTAAACATAAGTTCAGCTACTCAATAGCGAGCTGTCATGCCGGCATATTTTATCCCGCTATAAAGCGCATATGGAACATCCCACACTTATCTAACGGGTTCCCCTGGCATATGACCGTGACAGACATTCCACGTCAAACCAACGTCAAAACTTTGGAAAGGATGTGAAAGATAACCAAACCCATTAACTTCAAGACATTAAAGTCTCAAATAAGGTACGTAGTGACTCTTCCAACAAGCAAGGAACCCCCCTAGATTGATATTAAGCCACAGAACCTCACCGCCACTATTCGCCAGTTTCCGAGGGCTTCGCACAGCCACCCCACCACGGTCGTAGCAGGTGTAGTTACCTAGGGACGAGGAACAACTGCAGCCAATCGATCATGGAGCTCCGCCTCAACATTGAAAATAGGATTCTTGAATGCAAGCAGAAATTCAACGGGAATTTATGCTGCTACTCAACTGATACGCTTACGAGACCGTCATGGAGCTTGTCCGACTGCACGATCGCAACTATGTATCGTTTCTGATACAGGATCGGTAATACAGTCTCAGGACTTCGATGACCACTTGGACATGTACCAGGTGCGTCGAAAGATAAATGAGAGGAGTTCCGATATAATGAAATCCATCTTATCTGCTTGACTAACCTGCTCCATAGTGGTACATCGATACCTATGCATATGGGAGAAACGGCGATGTTGAGGGAGGCCAGAGTCAAGTGTGATGTGGATTGTACCGCAAACGACGAAATCACCAAATAGAGAAGAATGAGGTTAGATTAAGCTCAGATGAAGTACGACCGAAAATTTTCCCGAGATCCGCCTCATTAGGTATGCAGGACCCAGCAAGGGCTGTGCTTCGCTTCTGGTCTGGATTCCGGGGTACATAAACCGACTTGATGCTTGAAACGGGAAGCTCCCGTGGACCCTCCGCTCGTCTACTAGGGGAAACGATTAGCATCATTCTCCATGCTTGCCCCCTCCCCCAAACTCGAACCCTATTACGGACATTGCTTACCAGCTCACTGTTCTTGAGCGGGTCAAGACTTGCATCTTACACAGCCCCCGCGCATAGTTAGCCGGAGCGCCCAATATAGGTAGCAAGACTAACAGTGGAGGCATTAACCACGTACTTGCATTCCGAGTCCCGGCGATTGAATATCTAAGAAGCTCTAGGCGGTCAAGAGGGGAGGTTAGTCACCTTAGTACGTTATTCATGTCGGACGTTACCCAAGGGGAATATCGTCCAACATTGGATATATGTGAATGCCGAAACTTGCAGATCCTCCAAGGAGTCGTGGAACTCAATAGCAAGGCACCGTCCCCAGTTCCTTGGAAGCTATTGCCGAAGTTCTATAACCTATCTCCTATGGACGCGCTCGGAGTAGAATCCACTCTTGAAATGATACCCTAAGTCCGGAAACGATTTCCTTAAAAGTACAAAATGTTGCGATAGCCGAGTCTAAGCACTAAACTGCGATCTAATACCGGATAGACATTCCAACAGCTGTCCATTTGGCGGCTTCGTGAGTACCATATTGGAATTTCTAGCATGACTACCTAAAGAACTGGGACTTTATAGACATCGAAAAGTCAATATAATAACACCATAGGCAACTCTACTGAAGCTTCCAAAGGTATAGGTAGAAGTCTTTAGTAAACTGATAGCTGCACTAAACCAAGAGTTGACTAATTCTTTTAAGGAAAAACTTCATCCATACCTATTTTGGTTCACTTGTCTGGGTACCTGGCAAGATATGCTAGGAAGCAAAATAATAGTATACTGATCTGGACTAACGTAGACTTGGCTACATAAGCCGCACTATACCCAAATGACCCAAGAAACCGACATTTAATTATTAATCACGCATAACCTAACATAGATATGTAACATCAGTGTCAGATCTACACGTGTAGCCCCGGGAATGGGTGTCGTTCGCCCTACTTTGGCTAGGTAACCCAGCACTTTTCTGAGGTTAAATAATAGGGGGCCACCTCTAAGTGACCTTCCACAAAGCTGACTCAGAACTTGACGTCAAGTCATATGCCATATGCCAACATCGTGAACTAAAGGAAGGGAAAAGATATCGTTTAGAATTAATGATTAGGTAACTAAGAGCCCTAGGGGATAAGGTGGAAGTTGTGAGCGGTGAAGACCTAGTAGGCGAATTCCTGACATACGTCATATTTACCTAACCCTGAAGCCTTAGAGAGGTCTTGATAAGTCACTTCCATGCTTGAGAATTTCCTTCCTGAATATATTTATATTAGTAAGTATGTGGGAAGTTCGAATATGACTCTACTGGAGTATCTAAATACCCAGTTGTAGGTATAAATTACGAATGAACGTAGCAATAAATTATTGCTGTATATGCACTAAAAAGATAGAGATCCGCACAAAGCCCCGCTATATAAGCTATTATTTTGGAAGCTTACATAACAGTATATGCAATAAACTTCTTAAGTTTAAACTTTCACTTTAAATCTTCTAAGGTTCTAATCCAAACGTTGACAACGCATTTACGTAACCTTCACAAAACATCACATCAATCCGTCTTGTCTCGTTCTGCCAATCGCCATGAAACCGAGAAAACGTACTGCAGACGGCGAGGGCGGAAATGCCCATAAAAGACATCGTAATCCACAATATTCTGGAGGGACAAAGACGAACTCGACCATGGACCCGAATTACGGCCAACGAAGCGCCTTCGGTGACTTTGAGTGTCTTACAACCGTGCCTGTTGGAGACAGTGATCTGGACTGGGAGGATGATTCCGACGCACTAGCCTACCTTAAATCTGTGCGGTAAGTTAACCTTTCCTACCACCTTTCATTCTGCAAATTCGCAAGGCTAAACCGGTATCCCTGTTTTCTTAGGTGATTGATACTGATATGGTGAGTATAGAACCCAGGCTTTTACCATCCCACATGTCCTCGTCGCGAGTAAAGCTGGTCCACAATTACCTCCCCAATCCACACTGCAGTCCGTGGCTAGCAATCAGCAAGGTGGAGAAGAAGGCATCGACCGAAGTATCTATAAAGATGGCAGAGGCGATTTCAGAGGATATTATCACGATGGAGCGTATATCGCGTATGCACCCAACTACTTAGACGAGGACGAGGACGAGGATGAAGAGCAAGATGAAGAATTTGATGAAGCAAATCACGACTACGAAGAAGGCGAAGAAGACGAAAATCTAGAGCTAGAATACGAGGAAGAAAACAGCTCCGAGTCCGACAGCGAAGGGCGTCCGCATAATAGTAACTCGGACGAGATCCGCGACGCATATTTCGCTTCGCTCACGAACCAATACCTAGCCCTGCGCCAGATCCTACAGACCGAGCCACCGCACGACGTACTATTATCGCTCCCCAGATCGAATCCAACCGAAGTAGGCGAATTCGGCTCCCGATCTGACACGTTCCCCAAGTGGTCCGGGCGAATCCGAGGCACAGATCCGCTGCCCGCCCAGATCGCGGGTATGCACAAGGACGGCGTGATCCGGCTCCTGCGCATCATCCTCGGCGGCAAGTTCCTTCGCAAGAAGCAGACACTCTGGGAGCGCACTAGCAGGTGGGTATGGGCGCTGCTCGCGCGCCTACCCGAGAGGGGCGAGCTGGACTACCAGGAGATCGGGTATATCCGCGAGTTAGGCAAGAGGGCAGTGCTGCTGATGGTTAGTCTGGCCGAGATGGAGGTTCTGAAAGAGCATTACGATGTCGGCGATAGTAGCGCCGAGAGCCTGGGCGAACCCGAAGTTGACGATGGAGGCATTGGCGAGGAATCGAGTCCGGAGGGACCTGACGGCTGGGACGACGTGGAAGAGGAGGCCACAGTTGTTAGCGCCAACGCTACCAAAACAAAAGGAGCTGGCGAGGCGGGAGAGGCGTCGGACGTCGAGATGCAGATCGATTCAGACTCCGAGGCAGAGGACGGGGAAGTATCCGAAGCACCCCAAAACCAAGCAGAAGAATCATCGGCTGACATAGAGATGGCCAAGGCCCGGCTCCTGCACCAGCTCGACGCGACGGCCGGGGAGGAGGACGCGGAGCCCGTAGTAGTCCCCAAACCTGAAACCACGGACCTCATGGACGAAGCCTTCGCGGCCCTCGCCGCGGACGAGGCGGCCCAGAAGAAGGAAGAGCGCCAGAGAGCTAAGATCAACGAACGCGCCACTTTGAACATGATCCTTACTGTCGCCGGTGAGTTCTACGGGCAGAGAGACCTTCTCGAGTTCCGGGATCCGTTTGGTGGGCTTCAGGTCGAGTAGGTAGACCGAACCAGACCGGGCCCATATTGTGTCTATATCCATCCATGTGATCAGATTGTTCTATAGTACCTCCTATTCCTAGGCATCCTGCACCTTGAGCTCTACGCTGTAAGCTGTGTAAGAGATAATAAAAACAACCCAATATTTTGAAACATATCTTGGCGTGAGTTATGCGCTATGAGGTTAAATTGTATATCAATTCGCGATCTGGTAGTACACCCAACCAACAAACCAACCAACCAATCTTCCCTTATTGATGCGAACCAATCCATCCTCATTCCAAAACTGCAGGAGTATTCCGGGTAATTTATCCCTTGCATGTACTTACTCTCGTTCCCTCGTGATACGCACCTAAATAGATTGGATAGGTGTACATATACAAACGTGCTGCAACAACATCCGTGCAACAACAAGCAGCAATATAAAACTCCGCAAGCGCCAGCCAACCCGATCATGCAGTGTTCGCTAAAATGTCGTCTCGTCTCGCCCGCACGCCCATGTTTCAACCCGATACAATCCAATCCGTAACATAAAATAGTACAGCAGCACTTGCCGTCGTCTCCCCGGCCTCTATGCATATGTGCATCTCCCAAATATCCCGCGCACCTCCCCCTTCCCACCCCCCCGTCTGTCCCTATCTCTTGGGTATCCCAGCGTCCAACGCAGCATAACGGCAATCTGCAGCCCCCCTTACAAACATGCATACCTAGATGTTTATCATACCACACCCCACCCCACCCCTCCAATCCAAACAATCCTTCAAATCTCACGCATCACTCATCTCAACCTCCCACTCCCCAGTCCGAACCAGGAAATCCGCCTCTCCGAAATCATTCGCGTCAACATCCACATCCGCATCCCCATCGCCAAACACCACGACATTATCCCGGCCCCTGCTGACGACGGCCGCCGCCTTCGCGCCGCCTCCTCCGCTACGGGCCCTCATCTTACGGGGCACGGCGATAGCGCGGCCGTTATAGCTACTCTCGCTCGCGGGCGCGGGCGCGGGCGCGGAAGAGAAAGGCAGGTAATGGCTGCGCGGGCTGACTTCGCCGTCGACGAGCCCGTCGCGCCAGACGTTGAAGTCGAAGCTCGCGACGCTGAGGCGGCCGGGCGTCGACGGGGCTTCCGGCTCCTCGTCTTCCGTGTAGGAGCGCTTGCGCGTCGAGCGGGTGTTCGAGGGGGATGCGGGAGGCGCCACGGAGTCCAACGAGTCTTGGCTGCTGGTCAGGCCCGGGACGTCGTCGTCGTCGGTCATGGCGTCGTCTAGGGGGAGCCCGTTTATGCTGAGGAGGGGTTGGTGGGTGGTGAATGGGGCGGAGGTAGGGATATAAGAGGAAGAATAAGAAGAGGATGAGGGAGGGAGTATGAAGGGGGAGGTGTGTTCGGGTTGCGTATCCAAGCCGCCGACTTTGTGAATCCCGCAGAATGGGAGCAGTTCCCGTGGAGTCGAGATGGCGTTTGCTCGCGAGCGGCCTTCGCCCATGGTGCCGCCGTATGCCTGGGGGTTGGCCGTGACGTTCTCGTCGAAGAGCGCGAAGGCGCTGTAGTTTCCTGTCTTGTAGCCCTCGGGTACGGATTTGCGCACTCGCATGCCCACCGATAGTAGGTTAGCTTGCACGGTTGCCGGCAAAGGAGGGCTGTTGATATAGGGAGGGGAAGGGGGGACGTCGAGATGTTGCGAGGAGGACGACGGCAATAATGGTGATGCGCTGCTGCTAAAGAACGAAGTAATGTGTCGTTGAGCAGGATCGCTAGCTGCACCTGCGAATTGACGCTTGGTTCGCGGAGCTGACATGGCTGGAAGTTGGCAGGCTGAGTAGATCGATATAGGGATGGGGTTACGTGTCTGATGCGATGCGGCCCACACGAACGGGGACCAGTCACCAGGTTGCCTCGGATCAAATGACGACCCCCAGAGTTCCGGAGGCTTGTCTGTAACGGATCGGGTCTATCGTGGTGATGGAATAGGAGGTAGAATGCCAATAATTCCCAATACACTAGGCTCTGCGGAGAGCGAACCCACCAAGTCGAAACGACACAGCCACGCTGATCGATTATTCGCTGATAGGGGTCGGAGAAGAAAGCAAATGAGTTAAAGAAATTGCTCGTCAAACCGATAAAAACATTAATCCCGTCCGGTGTGGATGCTTCCGTCCCAAGTACGTGGATGACGATGGTGGAAAGAAGGGGGAAAAGAGGTCTGTTCGGAGGAGGCTGGACGGCAGATTGGGGCGGCTGATCAGACGATTAGGAGAGAGCGTGGAAACTTGGAACTGGAAAGTGGGGGATACGCGATGCGCGTCATTAGTCCCTTCCGGGGCGTGTTTTTACGCGTTTTAATGGGGTCTTGGCGCCAAAGTCAATACCAGGTACACTATTAGTATGTACCTAGGTACTCGAGTACTTAGGTACATATCTGAGACTTTTGATGTTTATATGACTTCAAGATTTGACCGCCTCACGAATATCAACTATTGATTTTAGCTCCTAGTTCAAGACATTTTCATCTATGGACTCATATAAGCAAGTACCTTTCTTAATCGAGTATTCGATGTTTTCACTGAAGTTTTAAGCGATTCAGAGTCTAAAGCAATCGCTCTATCCTGTTTGCATCCAGCAAACTCAAGTCGAGTATTCAAAATCTTTTACTACATTAAACGAGTTGAAGCAATTTAAGTTTACCATCAAATTGTTACTCTTCGCTCAAGAACTGGACAGGCACAAGATGTTTTCTACAGATTTTGAACTGTGTACCTGATCTCATGTATTTAGACCATGTAAGTAAGGTTTATTATAGCTATGGGGAGCCATGAGGATTATCATAATACAAAGTACGACGGTCAGGAGGAATATAATTTGGATCAGATCTACGAGTGTAGAATAATCAACCCAACATTCTAGAGTTACAGCAGCCAGCACAGAAATATAGCAACATTAGCAAGTCACGATAAGCGAAATAATACCAAAGATTAGTGGAACAATGTGAATTCGCCTAATGCAGTGATGCAGTGAAAACATACGGACACTGCAATCGGGTATGTAGCGATCCTCAATTAACGTTCCACGTCCTCGCATCAGACCTACGGAACCTACCCCTTGCGAGATAGGGACCAGTCGATGCTCGTGGAAAGCCATTTCCAGCTGTCCACCCATGCAGTAACTACCATCCCGCCTCGTGTCTGGAGGGCGATGACTGCGTAATACACAAGGCGAGAAAAACGAGGAAAAATCATTCGCGGAAAAACGGATGATGCAAGATATCAGGACCCCAAACGCCCTTTTATATTGAAGGTTCTTTTTGGTATCCGTCGTCTATCTGCAATGACGTAGAGGTTCGTAGAAGAAGTCGATTTATGCCCGGAAGACATGATGCCAGTTTTCATGCGCCCATTTCCGTCGAGAGAGTGCCTTGCAGATATCCGAACCACACCATGAAGTCGTGACCAATGCCCAATAACGAAGAAAAGACGAGACGAAATCCTCTACTTTCTTCGGAAAGAGCAACCCTCCGTTAACCGAGCCTTACCACCAGTTGGTTGGCAAAGAACGGTGGTGCAACCCTGGCAGATGACGACGGTCTGGGCGTGTGAGAAGACGGTGGTGATGGTGAAGCATCCGGGGCACTTGACGTCCATGAAGAACGATCGGGGGCTGGGGACCAAAGTCTACCCGAAATGATCAGTATATTTTCGCCAACACATTTCAAGATGCGATTTCACTTCGGGTGAGTCGTACCTTCAGCTTGTGTTTCTTGGCCTCGGCAGCCGGGCTCGGGTTGAGAAGATCAACAGCGAGAACCTAGGCAGAAAAGTTTTGTCAGCTTAAAGCTCCCCTTCGATATTGTAAACCCAGGCAATCATCGATCATCCAGCCGTATCGGTCATCGGATCAGGATAGAATAGGATAAAGGAATCCTACTGTCGCAGATAGATTCGGCTTTCTTATTTCTTGTTGGTATCGCTATTATTAAGGATAGCCAAGATTATCGACGATTGATGAAGCGCGAGTCGTGGCAGTAGATCGATGACTTGTCGGAAGGGTAAATCAATAGAGGGTTGTGCGGGCTTACCATCTTGTCTGATTGTCACAAAAAGTGTCTTATGCGATAATTTGGCAAGTGTGAGGTTGGTCTGCGATATCTGAAGATAGCAGGAAGACAGGATTTGTTTTGGCGAAAGACGGTGGTAGTTGAAGATTGAGGGGAAGGTCGTGTGTGTAATTTTCGAGGTTAAAAATTCGTTTAGCAAATTTCGGGGGATACGGATTTTCCTTAGGCGGATTGGCCTGTGGTGGTGCTGGAGGCGAAATTCACTAATACCCTTCTGGCATGGACAAATTAGGCATAGTACAGAGGAGGGCTAGGGCTTTTTAAGGCCCACACACGCTTAAACTTAGTAATTGAAAGCTTAGCAGCTGGCAGGCTAGGAGAAAGTTAAAAACAGCTGTCAGCCAGAATGAGCAAAGTGGGGTTGTTGTACTTGGGTACTTACGTTGGAGGGGCTGGAGGGGTTGATCTTTCATAACACAACATCAGGCAGCATCAAAAGTTCCAAGGCAATCGAACATCTTAAATAATTCATTAGTTCCAAATCTCCCAATATTGAAATTTATCGTCTGTTCATTCACATTCATCGGAGTTATCATTGGTATATTGGTAGTAGGACAAATCAATCAAGATGGCCGCACCGACAGATCAAAGGATAGCCGTCCCTATTGATGATCCCAATGCAGATACTGAATGGTATGAACTACTATACATTGATTTATTTCATCACTGGCAATGTACTTACAATAGATACAGGAACGACATACTTCGTAAGCATGGGGTTATACCTGAAAAGCCTCCGTCTCCTACACCTATGATCGAAGAAGCTATACTCGAAGGCCGACGAATAGCACATGAGAACAGGTTAGAGGGGAAAGAACTCGATGAGCTTGATGCCCTGGAAGACGAAGAAGATGAGGCTTTCTTAGAGCAATATCGACAGAAGCGCATGCAGGAGTTGAACAAATTGACCAAGAAGTCGATACACGGCTCGGTCTATCCGATATCGAAACCAGAGTACTCGCGCGAAGTCACGGAAGCCTCTAACAACGGGCCAGTGTTTGTGAATCTCACATCTTCACTAGGAACCAACGTCGAGTCGAGAGTCTTATCAGAGCTTTGGAAGCAAGCAGCGAAAGAATACGGCGACATCAAGTTCTGTGAAATAAGAGCGGACAAGGCTATTGAGAACTACCCAGACCGGAATTGCCCTACTATTCTCGTGTATAAAAACGGCGATATCGTGAAGCAAATAGTCACTCTCGTCACCGTAGGCGGGGTACGAATGAGTATGCTGGAGATTGACAACTTGCTGGTCGAGGTGGGCGCAGTCAATGAGAAGGATATGAGGGTCGTCAAGAGAAAGAGAGACGCTGAGGACGCTAAGGAGGAGCAGCTTATGGGTAAAGGAATCAAGAGCGGAAACCTGAGACATGCGACTATTGATAACGAGGACGACGATGACGATTGGGATTGAGAGCATGCGCATTATGGTCGTCCCGCTCTCTCATCATACATCTAAATCCCCTTAACTACAAATCCATTATATCCGACTTTGCAAGCATTCAACACATCGCCCGCGGTGACATCGATTTACAGGGGGCGGCCCTGGCGTCAAGCTTCCGATGAATGGTAGCTAATCCGATTCGATATCGAAACATTTTTGTGGATCGTATCAGGTGAATCTAATAAGCTGTAGGAGCCTACCCCTAAAATCACAAGCTAATGTGCGGCTACTAACAACTTCAAGCAAATAATACATACTTGGATAGGACATAGAACAACTCGAAGTGGATGGATTTCAATTCGCTCGACTTATTGGAATATTGAAGTTTTAGAAGACGAGACCGAATATTATTGGAGAACCTTGGAACGCACTTGTTTGAACCAAGACGCTGGGACCAATGTACCGTCCCGTCTCCGTCTCTGATCAGGGAGCCGCAAGTGGGCTTGCCAATTGGGGAAGGTGGGTAGGGTGGGTCTTCACGTCTTGACGTCGTGACGTGACGCGCCTACTCCAACTTGAAAAAGGTGGAAGGGTAAAAACGTCGTCACGCTAACAAATTTCGCGTCTATCGCATCTTGTGAATAAACCGTCAACCGTTCAACCCTCTCGTGTAACTATTACGACCGACTCACCTCCTGTAGCCCTTGCTTCTAGGCACAATAACATACTATTAGGTATACGACAAGATGGCCGAGGAACCAACCCTTCCCAAGTTACCCGCTGTCTCTTGGGATTTCGAGACCGAAACTTTTAGCAACACGCGAAAACGCGCTCGCAATCGAGGTGAACCACCCGCACCGCCAATGTTCAACAACTCAAGCGATCCAGCCGTGTTCTCCAGTGACGATGATCCTCAATTGGAAAATTATACCGAAGGAAGACATCGCAAGAAGCGATATATTGGTTCCTGGTTTCAGCAACATCTCGCATCGTCCGACTCGACATTTGGCGAGAGTATACAGCCGGTACCTAAGACGAATAGAACGTTTGAGCGCCAGTTCGACAGCGGAGTTTGGATGGGAAGCGACATCTCAGTAGATACGGAAGACGATACGATCGTAGATATCGAGATGCCTACTCAGTCAAAATTACTGCAGCTGAGACATGCGAGGCCTGTCGCAACCATATCTCCTAGCGAAGCGGCCGCTCGAGAAAAGATACAGGCTGCAATTGACCAAGGAGTTCAGTCCATTGATCTCTCGTAAGCAGATACCTTACTGCTTGCAGGCTACGACAAATTTCGTAGTCGGGCTTAAATATATGTGTGGAAACTAACTTTTGCAGCGCCTCGGGTATCGAGACTCTTTCCAACGCGACCGTGTCTCAACTTTCCATATTTGACACCGTTCCTATCATAGAGGAAGCATCTCCATTCGAGTCGAGGCGACCATTTCTTGAAGTTTACTTATCTAGCAATCCGCTTATTCGTGCTCCTGGGGCTCTCTTCAACTTAGAACATCTAACCGTTCTCAGTCTTAGGAGTACTCTGATTACCGAACTCCCGCCGAGTATTGGGAACCTGCGCAACCTACAGAGCCTGAACTTGTCTCTTACTCGTCTTCGGTATCTGCCTTGGGAACTCTTGGACTTGTTGAAATACCCAAGCAAGCTTCAAAATCTGAACATACACCCGAATCCCTTCGACCGGCCAGATCACTATGAACCTCTTATTACCATGGATATTGAGATAAAGAATCCATCTCTTGACGGGTTTACTCCTTTGGTAAACGAAATACTGCGCCTCGATCATGGGAAGCAAGCACGATTCTGGCTCGACAAACAGGACGGTATTACTGCAGAACCTAGCCCCTGCCATTACTTGAAGAAACCAAAGTGGGCGGCTGCTGTGCTTGCACGATCACCAGTGCAATACAGTGATAGCCGAGGAGTTGTCATCTCCAAGTTCCGGCTACTGGAGCCAAGACCAGATGTTCCACTTGAACAAGGATCATCGTCAGTTCGATCCATCCAAACCGAAGATCTGTGTTCAGCACCCGCGATGCCCCTTCCCGCTAGACAAGACCTTCCTTCCACCACAAGTCGAAGCCGCGTGCCATCTTTATTCGAGCTAGCTCTCCAGTCTTGCATAAAGAGTGGGCAGCTCCGCGACCTGCCGTCCTTCTTCCCGCCAAACTCACCACAAAGTATCATCGATGCGCTGAATCGAGTCGCCGAGCAAAGCGACGCAAACGCGAACTCGGGTAATCTAACTTGCTCGGTGTGCAAGCGACGAGTCGCGGTACCTATGACTGAGTGGATTGAGTGGTGTCTAGTTGGGGATATTAATACCGATGCGGTGATGCGAGCAGAGAAGGCGTGTGACGGACAGACTCAGCTTGCGGTTCCGTTCTTGCGACGAGGCTGCTCTTGGAAATGTCTACCGGAGGTGATGACGCCGGGACAGAGAGTACCGGGTATGGTGAGATTCAGTGTCGACTAGAGGAGCGACGTGGTTTATGATACCCCTGGCATGTTTAGGCCAAATAAAAAAGAGGAAAGGCGTAGTTTGAACCAAATATTCACAGTTGAGCTCATGTGCGGAAAACAAGGCTATTCCAAGGAACAAACGGACCCAATCAGTTGAGGAAGCTGTCATCGAGACAGCCAGACAGAAAAGGGGGCTATTGAAGCTGTTGGAGCAGTTGCCTCAACAACTGCTCCCATTGAAATATCATGTGTTGTAGCCGGGAATCGCCGTTTTGACTCTTTCCAAGGCTAAGAGTCGGAATCCTATGAATCATCTGTATTTGGCAATATGGCTGCTTCAAAATCGAACAATTGAACTGATGGCTCCTAGGCTTTGACGCTTGCACCAAGTGTTGATAGATAAGTTGATAAGTCGATTGCAAGAGTAAAAGCATTAAAGATGTGATCTTCTAAGGTCCAGCCCAACATCTATATATAAGGCTCGGAAAATAGTGAAACATTGTTTTAAAGGAAATTAATCATTGCAGATTGGGTTTCACGGAGCCTCTTGGTTAACATCCATGTTTCTGATACCCGTCCCGCCTGACAACTTAACCTATCCCGGGGTAGGTACTTGAAGATCGTCAGCTTGTTTGTAGAGAAGCACAATTAGCCTCCACGGGAAGCTCATTAAAACTGTTTGGCTTCTTGGATGTTGAATTACACCCATAGGCATCATCCAATCGACCATGTCCTTATTTTAACACCACATTCATGCACTTTACCCGGTAACTTGGGTCTACTATGCATAGACGCATATGCATGTCTCAGCTTTATCCATCAATCCTAGGTCCCAAAGTAGTCCTCGTGGAGAATCAAGCAGGTGTGGATATCTGGGGAAGATTCGTGGAGTGTATGCATCTGGAATCCGTTCTTTACCTATAAAGTCTCATCCCTAATCTAGTGATTTAAGATCTGGGGGGTAACTCTATGTGTAGGTAGTTGGTTTTCACTGTGCTGTTGATAGAAAATCATCTACGTACTTAGTAGGTACATAAATTGTGAATAGATGAAGACTTCGACGTCTATATAATGCAAGGGAGGAAAGGAATATCAAAGCATTATCAGAAGTGTCCCCCTTAATTCTCCGTATCGCCGTGACCTCCGGCTAGAGATCGGTTCTAAGAGAAGTCATATGAGATGGGTGGTTTAAGGGGTTAGTCGATGCGATGCCACTAACTAGATGCAACACAGGTCCATAAAGAACACAACCTCACGATATCAAACATCAATATTTTACTCATTTTCATTGCCTTCTAAGGTAGCATTGAATGGGGAGCTTGTTGATGATTTGTACAACTTGAAGCAAGTCTCAAGTATCGTGACCATCCGTCAGCCAAGCACCTCTACCTACCTTGGAACGTACGTCTTATCTCAAGTTTATGTAGCGGAAAGGCAAAAAGATGTCATACTCTGTCGTAGAAGTAGAGTATAATAAGTACCGTGCTGCGCTGCACGATCTCGGGAGGTCGCGTACTCCTCACTCGTCAAATACTATCAGACTAACAACCGCCGAATCCATGGCACGAGAACTCGGGCCATGTTTAAGACTCGGTCTCATCGGAGCAGCGAGCTGTAGGTAGTATTCTCAACTAAACAGATAACTCGGCTCATGCTCGGGATCGCGAACGACAAAGATATCAGACATCGGTTTCGATCACCGCAACACTTACTCCGGCGGTGTCGGGTAACACACTATCGTCCTAATGCTAATTAGTACTCACAGCGCGGGCCACATGATCAGATCATAAATCGGACTAGAACTTTTGAAAAAAAGGTTCTTTTCCCTTCCATGCAACATTAAGTCTGGGTCAGCGCGGGGCATTTTGTCCGCCGCAGAAAAAAAAAAAAGGAAGTGCAAAAAAAGATCGTTAGATCGTTCGTTTGTTTTGTTGGATCTGGAAAGAATCGTCCGAGGTTTCCGAGGCGGCTGGAAATTCGTCTGCCGACTTAAGCGGCTGTATGCGGGTAAGGGGCACAGATAGTGCGGTAAGGCGTGTGGTGGCCTGTTCGTACATCTATGCCAAAAAAAATTCAGAGCGTTGGAAAATAGTTTTGGCTATTCCTAATCTAGCAGTGGATATGCAGCTACGACTGGTAATTGTTAGACGAGTACATATGGTGATAGGCTGGCGATTAGCAAATTAGACAGGTAGTACATAAGTTTGTATATAGATTTACTTGTATAAGTAAGTACCTGCTGTCATTGGCAGCTGGAAAACCATGAGCTTGGTTTTTACCTAGATTATGTAAGTAATTCAAAACCTTGAGCAGCATACTAAATACCTACCTAATGTAGGAGATAGAAGGGATAAAAGGAAGGCACCAACAGGCCTAATAGGAATCGAACCTAAACTACCTTTTATCCCCTTATCCAGTATCTGTAGGTAATAAGTTAAGTCGTATACGACACGTTGGCTTGAAGTTTACTTTAACAACCTAACTGCTCTTTGTATAAATACCAACGCTAAGACTGCAGATATTAAGGTTGGGAATAGCTTCATATAGGTAGTACATACCGCGCAGTCAATCGCTTACGTAACATTCTACCACCTATTCGATGCTCAAAAATCCAATTGTTCAAGCATTCAATTGTTCAATCACTCAATCACTCAATCACTCAATCACTCAATCACTCAATCACTCAATCACTCAATCACTCAATCACTCAATCAATCATTCAATCATTCAATCAAATATACATACTCACCTAGCTTACCTACTTCAAACTCAAATCATCAAAGTAACATGCCCTAGCACCCAGTTTTATATGAGCACGCTTGTACCTTACATGTTGAGCCAAAATTCTAAAGTCTAAAGTCCGAAGTACTGACTTATCGACGCTAAATCAAAGAAATCTGGGGCTAAGGTAGATTCTTTACCCCTTTGGGCAAAATTCTTAGAAAAATATTTTTTTGGCATAGTTGAACGAACAGGCCGCCGTAAGGCGAGCTTTTTGGGTAAGTACATATGGTGTAACACCGATGTAAGTCACGCCGTCGTCTAAGCTGTAATTCGTTGGTGCTTGCTTATTCTGTACTGTCATCGTCTCTGCATATAACTCGATTATGTGAGATTCTTGTTCTTCCTTTGGTATCTAGGCAGGTTCGTTAAAGCTTCTACTTGGCCATACCTTAGGTCTTTTAACAGTGTTAGAGGAATAGAGGAATTGCGGAAGGTTTATATGGTAATAGGGTGGTACATACTTGGTACCGATCTTTAGACCAAGGACGTGGTTGCGATTACTGCCGGTGTTTCTTGGTGGACCAGGGCAAACTAACTTAACTTGTGGTAGACGTGCAAGGATCTCGAAAGCTTGTATGTAGAGCTTGTTTGCTGTCAGCCCTGCCATTGTGACGGCGATTGTGCTATTAAGCGTTCATCGACCAAAGTCGACAAGTCACAGATACCCAACTAGACGAGCTACAGTACGCTAAACTTGATGAAGCAGAGTGCAGGGAATAGTGTCTTTGAATCATTCCTAGTTGGGTTCATATGCATGCGCAAGGGATATAATAAGACCCAATTTGCTGAATCATCGTCTGATCTGGCATATGGCAATTTGAAATACTGATTAATATGTAATGGAGAAGTGAATGGTATCTCATTGAAAGTAGCGGTGATTAGTTGTTTATCCCCGGATCTCCGAGATAGGAGCTTATGGTCCACGATCTAGTGAAGGTTCTGGTTGGCTGAGTAATAAAAAAAGCTTAATAAGACATAAGACATTGGCTGGTTGAAAGATGGAAAGTGGAATAGGAGGGGAGTTCCTTCACCAACCTCACTGGTGCGACTAGAAGTAAAATTACACCATGGAAGGAGCCCATCGGAGTTCCGCAGAACGCCAGCTCCTTTTATTCGGCAAAGTCGGCCCAAAACGAGGCTATCTTCGTCACTTGCTCTTTTTTTCTTCACTTCTCTGCTTGCAGAATTCCGGTTTTTGTCGTCTTTTGATCGCACATTCCAGAGGAGAGATACCAACTAGGTATCGTGTATCTTCATATTACCATGCAGGTGTCATGGCGGCTCACATGGGAAAGAATCTTACTAAAATGCTACGGACAAGGCAAGGGTCATGTCCACCAGACACTCTAAGACCGCATCGAGAAGAAGGCACATTCCGAGCTTTCCGACGGCCGCTGCCTTTTTATATTACCATAGTATACTAGTGCTACGTACCTAGGTCCTCACTGTGTACATTGACGCAGATGTAGCCTGCTTACAGCTTACAGCTCCCCTTACCCTTCTTTCCCTGCGGCCGGTTCGGGAAACCATTTTTATTTATATGTGCCAAGGAATGCAAGGCCGATACCGAGCTCAAGCTTGCCTAGAGAATTATAAGTACTATATTAATATCTACCTACTGCTTCGTTTTATGTCTTGACTTCTCCTTTGTTTTTCCTCCTTGGGGGTTACCTAAAACAGTAGCTAGGTCCTGGAACCTCCCGGCATTGCTATTATCTTCATCGCGATCGTCGTCACTATTATCATCGCGTAGTTCTTATCACATAGTGCCAGTACCTATTAACAAGAATGTCATCGTCGAAACTCCATACGAAACCTCCAACGCTCGAGGCCTTTGCCCGCTGGGCTCGCCTGAAGAAATATCGCATCGAGGTCACCTATGGCGTCTATGTCTACACACCAGTAGAGAAGGCCGTCTTCTGGACCATATTCTGCTTGCTGTTTACCGCCATCTCCTTCGCCGCCCTTGTATACACCAAACGGAACGTCACCTTGCTCCTGAAATACGCGTCCATCTACGTGAACCGTGATGGCGGCGCTACTAGTGCAGTATCCAACCTCTTCCCCAGGACTCACACCGCATTATCGCTCTCAGAGCAGGGCATAAAGTCGCTCGCAGAGACGATGGGCAGCGCAACAAACTCCCAGATCCCGTAACCGTCCGAATAGACAATTCTGGCATGAATTGTCTATTCAGTAGGGGGTATCGTTGGAAGTACCGAGGAAAGTGAATGCTGCAACACTCGTTGAGGAAAAAAGCCGGAGTTTGGAGAAGGGAGGGGCTGGGTGTAGTCAGATGCGGAACTACCGATCCAACAGCGTCCGGAAAGCTCGCTAATTTCCCGGAAAGATTATGGTGAGACCGGGAATGCTCCGGCTTGGAGGGCACGAAAGAACAGCGAAAACCGAGCGTTGCTCGGCCATGGAACGGAACCCAGCAGCTATTTGGCGACGACAACAGAAGTCCATAGCAATTCAATTGGCGCCTAACTAAGGACCTGGGCCCTAAAGGCGAGGAGCAAGAAATTCATGAAAAAGGGGGAAGCAAAGGGAAAAAAATTAGGAATTATGGAATAGAGGGGCTGCCCCTGAACGCGGTGGAAGCTTGGCGCAACCAAATCACTCTGGGACTTGGTCGAACGACGCACATAACGCATTAAACGACTTGCATGAGCTGGATTTGAGGTGTTCTCGGTGTTGAAAGGCTTAAAGCCTTGGTTTTTTTCAGAAACGGGGAGTTCTATACCTTTTGTCAGCAGACGTAAGATCCGTTTGGATCCCTAGGTTCGCTTTATTGCATAGGAGGCGCGGATCTTGGATATACCCTCGCTCGAAGGCGTCTGGAAGTTTCTTGGGTTGATTAATCCCGGACTTTACCTACCTTGATTATATCCTAATTTCATTTTTTAACATCAAGGAGCCCTGTTAAGTGTTTAGAATATCGTGATATGAGGTCAAACCTCTAGGATATAATTCTATAACGCTCCAAGTATGCCGAGGCCTAATTCTTGGCTTCCGCCTTAGGCTCCCCTTCACCTGACGAAGGCTCCGTATCAATCAAATCTTTAGCAAGTTCCCGCAGTTTGAACTTCTGTATCTTCCCGCTCGCCGTCTTCGGGAATTCGTCAATAAAAAAGACGTACTTCGGCACCAGATGCCCCGAGAGATGTTTTTCAACCCAGTTCTTCACCTTATCCTTCCATAGTGCCTTCTTTTGACTCTCTTCCACCACCTCCTCTGGGCCATACACAGGCTCCCGCCTGTCAGTCCTAGTCCTCACATCCTTGTGCACGGCAACGAACGCGGCCACAACCTCTCCGTACTTCTCATCCGGCACCCCCACGACGCTCGCCTCGCGCACCAGCTCGTGCCGCATAATCGCTTCCTCGATCTCGAGGGGGTGTATATTCTCGCCGCCCCTGATAATCAAATCCTTAATCCGTCCCGTAATCTCAACGTAACCCTCCTCGTCCATGCGCGCCTCATCGCCGGTGAGCATCCACATCCTCCCCTCAGCTTCCTCCTCATCCCCCTCCCTAGTCTCCTCTTCCTTAATCAGCACCTCGTCCGTCCTAGCCTGGTCCTCAAAATACTGTTTCATAAGAAGGTATCCCGAAACAGCCAACTCGCCACACTCCCCCCGCGGCAGAACGCGCGCGCTATCGTTTCTATCCACGATCTTAACCGCCGTATGCGGCATCACGCGTCCCACGCTCCCCGCGCGCTTCGCCGGCGGGTCCGCGGGACTCGTCATGCAGCTGACGGGGCTCGTCTCCGTCATCCCGTAGCAGATCACCAGGTCCTCGAGCCCGAGCTTCGCATTGAGCTGCCGCATCAGCGGCTCCGGGACGGAGCTCCCCGCCGCGATGCCCTTGCGCAGGCCCGTGAACAAGGCGTCTTCGGTTCCGCTTCTCTTCGCTGCGGCCTCGCGCAATCTCTCGACGAATTCCGGTGACTGGAGAAGCTCGAGCTCCGCCGCGAACATGGTGGGCACCCCGTGCAAGCCCGTCGCGGCGTGCTCGGCGACCATGAGCAGCGTGGCCGTGGGGTCGAACGCGGGCGACGGGAAGAGGATGGCGGCGCCTGTGGTCGCGGTCGCTTGGAGCCCGAGCACGCAGCCGAAGCAGTGGAACAGGGGCGGCGGGCACACGATCCGGTCTTCCGGGACCAGGCCCATGCGGTCCGCGACCAGGCGTCCGTTGTTCAGGATATTGGCGTGGCTCAGCATGGCTGCTTTCGGGTTGGACGTCGTGCCGGATGTAAATTGTATGTTAATAATTTCGTCGGGCGAGAGGGGGGAGTCCGGGACCACGGGACCGGGGTGCGGGAAGAGAGCCGGAGAGGGTCTGAAGTGATAGTCTACGGAGGGGAGGAGCGAGGAAAATGGCGTTATTGCGGAGAGGGCCTGGAGAGGGGGAAAATTGGGGAGGGGATGCCAGGGCGTGTTGTCGGCTACGATTACGGATCGTAGTGTAGGCACGCTGGGGGACTCGATCTGGCCGCTGCTCTTTTTTAAGTCGGGGATGAGGGCCTTCAGGAGGGCATAGTTACTACGGCCGCGGCACGGCTTATAAGCTAGGTCCGTGACGGCACCGATGATCAGGACCGAGACGCGGAGATGCGAAAGCGCTGTTACGAGTTGTTTCTCGTTGAAGGTCGGGTTGAGCGGGACGAGGACGGCGCCGAGTTTAAAGAGGGCGTAGGTTGCTATGACGTGCTCGGCGACATTACCGAGACTGAGGGCTACTCGCTCGCCTTTCTTGACGCCGAGAGACCTTAGGGAATGTGCTAGGACGTCAGAGTGGATGTCGAGGTCCTGGTATGTAAGGGTTATTTTCCCGGGTCCACGTTTGAGGCCATGTGATTTGTCAGTTGTTGGGACCCGGAATATAGCAGCTGGACGGTCACCGTGTTGAGAGACTACGGAGCGAAAGTGTTCTGGAATTGTGACGGTGATCAGTGGTGGCTATATAATGTTAGTATGGATTTATTTTATTTTTTATTTTTTTTGGAAAAAAAAAAAAGAGTTCGTGATTTTGGTACTCCCACATATACCCCTAAATAAACTCCCGGACTCATTTTGGCGATTCGTAAAGCCAGGGCATTACTCTTGTCTTACTATCTTGGATGAGGTAGTGCCAAGCAAAAATTATAAACTGGACAGAAAGGACATACTTCCTTAGGCCCCTCAGCATAACTCAGACTCGAAGTGGCGATGCCTCTTTGCTGCACGGCTCGTTTCTCTATCGATTGACAAGTGAAAATTTCCCGCTCAAGCTGTTCATGTATTCTATGATGTAAGGCAACACATCTCAAAGACCGATAGCGTAACCGAGGTACATGCAGTGCATGAAGCGTCAGTGGACGAAACGATGATTTCATAATGCCCCGAGTACTTAATGCTCACTGAAGGCCAACGAGGAAATCAGAATATTTCCGGGGTCCTAAAATCGGGAAGCTGTAAAATCTTCAGTAGAAAAAAGCGTCCTTGTATCCCTTGCCTACCTAGGCCGTGGTACTCGTGCTACTCACATTCAACCCAACATCTAGTATGTAGTAATTAGGCGACTAAGGGGGGATGGTTGAAGCACCCAAGTAAATAGTCTGTATGTCTCGATTTTACCTACACATACCTCCAAATATACCTAGATTGAAGCTAGGTCGTGATATTGCCGGCGCTGTGTGGGGAGACCTGCGGCTGACTGAGGAGAAAACGCGGGGAGAGCTATTCTGGGGTAGGCTGGTGCGGATAGTCGGGCAATACCACCTAGATTAGTAAAAAAGGAGTCTCTTGCCTCTTTCAAGAATATACACACAACCCCAGTTAGCAGCAAGATTTGGAGGACAGACTAACAAATATGGAAGACAGTTCATCATTAAGATTGATGAACTAAGTTTGACGAGCGAGAAAACTCGGACTAATCAAATATCCACCAAACGCCACAATCCATGCATACCTAAAGCGGGTATATGCAATTGGTCCCTCCTCGGCGGACGGTCTATCCCGAATGCCTCTTTTTCTTCGTTGCGCCAAACACAGCCGTGAGCGTTCTATATCTCTTGTGCGTATGCCCTCCCAAGAATGTCCGCACCAGGCGCCGATTCCTATCCTCGGAAACAAAATAATAGGAGGACTATTCGTACAAACTGGGGGATAGCGTGCTAGGAAACAAATAGATCTTCGTTCAAGTCAATCCCGACATGAATTTTTGCAATACAAGCCAGAAGATTGACTCAGTAACCAGTTCCATGCAGCATCCCCATGAAAATCCGGTATATGTAGTCCCATGAGAGGTCGTTAACTTCGTGATGAATAGTTTTACAAACTTTGTGTACGATCGCCGAGTCCGTAATATCGGAATAGTAAGTCGATGATTTCCAACGATTGGCAGAGCTGGCTTTTCTTTGATTGAAAGCCAATTCCTCAAAGGATCACAGGGCGATAGTCCGAGGGTGATTTAGGGCATAAGAGGCGCCATAAATAGCCTCTAGTTACCCGACCCACCTATATGCCGTTCGTTCTCGGGCTTCCACGTGCCTATTAAAGTTAGCAAAATGCGATACTAATGCAGACCCGAAATCTTACCTTCGAAATCATGCTTAACGAATGCCATAGGATCATCGTAGTCCTTCGCCCCCATCTGTTGGACACCGGGCGAAAAGCTCGTTATAGGGAGCACGACAACATCGCCAACTTTCTTCGGGCTATCTATTCCTGTGAAGTTCAAGTACGAAATGTTGCCCTGGCTGGTTCTCATATCGAAATAACGCGGGTCGTTGAAGTAGTCGAATATTGTATCGGTCCAAACGGCGGGGCCGGTAAACTCTACTACGCTCTTCTCTTTTGACAAGAACAGACCCTCGCGCTTTCGCTTCAAAGTTTCTTGCGTGATACGTGAGACGATGTCGCGCAGAACGGGGTGACCCGGCTTCGATTGAATGGTCCACTGGCAGAACTGTATCCGTCGACTATACCAATCCTTCCAGTCCGGTCGGTCGGGATCCGCCTCGATACCAATAACCAGACCAATGCTCTCCTTGGGTACGGAATCTGGAATCCATTCCAAAGCACTCTTTATAGCAAACGTATCAATGTCAGAGTATATTCCACCACGAGCGAGCAGGATGAGATAGCGGAAGAAGTCAGCTTTTAGCACGGGCTTAGGTAACGCATTGTACGCCTCGAGAACCTCAGGAATAGGGGCATAGAGCAGTCTGATCAGGTGGACGGCAACTTGATCGGTGATAACTTCGTGGACAAATCCCGGGTGCTGCATCGTCCAAGAAGCTTCCTCGTCCCGAAATGTAAATTCGCCATTCGCAGGCGTCCATTTCCACGTCTGCCAAATGTAGGCCGGGAACTTGGACTCGACATCGTACGGATATTGGTATGCTAGCTTATCATACAAGGACATTTTAGATATATCTTGAATAGCCTTCTGTGCGGGAACTGGCTTGTCTTTCAAGACAGTATCGGTCTCCGGGGTGTAGGAGGTAGTAGAAGGATCATGCTTCGCTCCGGCATGTTGATCGTTTGCGGCTGCAGGCTTCGGCGGAGGTTTGCGAAAAGGTTCGGGATCGCTAGCGTTGGTGTGGGATCGTCGGAGTAGTATAAATGCTATCAGGAAGAATACTGCGAAGACTACAGCCCTCTTGAAGGACAGCACCTTGCGACTCGCCATATTGACACGATTTTGGTGGTGAGGTGTGGGAGTCAGAAATTTGCAAGATTACTCCTCAGGTAACCTAGGACGAAAGAACTAAGATGATCTTAGAGGCATGCGGCAAATCGGGAACGAGGAATTGAAGGAGTTAGGTGGTATATCGTAGGAAACCCTGAGGGGTAAGGGTTGGAAATGAATGTATGTAGTTAGTTGAGACGACTCATAGATGCAAGATGTGTTCGTAGGTTACAGATTGAGGAGAGGATGAAGAGGCTGAGAGGCTCTACGGCCAACTTTCGAAAGCTTCGAAAGTTTTACGTTTACGACAATAATATGAAATAGGGAATCACGGAAAAGTCTTGGCTTCTTCTATTTCAAGGCTACAGGTAGATTGCCCCCACCCCCCTTTATGTGATTTTACGGGATTACATGGATAGCAAGGATTCGTAGTTTCTTGGCCGCAGCTTCCGACTGCGCGGATTCGGCATAAGATGTTCACTACCGCATCCTTATAAACGCATATCTGCACCTCAGCTGTTGATTAGCGCCGTTAGTGCCGTTTTGCGTCGTGGCCTGTTGCGACATCTGTGGCTTAGCGGTTTCGCGTTTCGCCGTTTCAGCCCTTTATCGATTAGAAACAACGTAATCTTGGTTGACTCTTTAGATGCGGAGGTAACGTTCAATGGTAACTCAACCTCTATTTTCCAACGTATAACGGTCCGATTTGATGCCCAATTTATCTCATAATTGACCGCACATCTATCTACCTAGTAGGCAGGTAGTTGAGAATTAAGTCTGCTTTGTGTTTACTCAGACATACCAAACACGAAGCTCATTTCATTTATCATTTTACATTTCGCAATACGAAGATCTCTTCGCGATATCTCCACTCGCCAACCCATAAGATCGAATAGTCCCACCACCATAGCCTATTACTTTACCGAGAAGAATAGGAGTAACTTTGGTAAAGCGCACAGCAATACCAGAACTGTCCTAGATCGTTCAGATTGTTCCGATCTTCCCACCCGCTTTCTCGGACGGTTATCGTTTGTAAATTGTGCCGGCAGACGCAATGGGTGGATTGAGTGCCATGCGAGTCATGCTCGCCCACCCTGAACACTGAATTACAGGGAACGGCTATTGACATCATTACACCTATATTATTCTAACAAAAGCAAAGTCTAGAAAGGTAAGACAAATGACGTTATTCGATGGTTTAAGAAAATTCGTACGCATCAATATGTTACGTTTAATATCAATTGTCTCAGATAGGCTATTGTACCGTGTTTTTCTAGAGCTATTGATTACATCGACAACCTTGTTACATACATATGAAAACTACGTGCGCAGCGTCAAGTATCTACTACTAATAACCAAGATCTAACATCCGTTACTACTACGTACGTACCTGCTACTTCGATTCTTAGTCCACGCACCGAGTCATTAGCCGAATTCATAAGCCTGGGGTTCTCTAGCAGGTACAGCATACGTCTAGAACCCCGCTTCTCCATTTTCTATAGCCACGCAATGGCAATGCTTCTATAGGGTTAACGCGTCACAACCTACTGGAAGATAAGTCATCTACCTAAATTTAAACACATTGAGCCAGGCAAGTAACAAACGAGTATATTCATCCTGAATCATATCAGATCATATAGGTATCCCACTTACTCAATAAACGAATAAAACAAACCCAGTGCTAATCTTGGGCCTTTCCTAGGTACTCTCACTCGCTTTTAGTGGTAGCGTCCGAGCGAGAAGTTCAGCGTGGCGCTATGTTAAACATCGTAGTGTTGGGTATATTAGCGCAGTCGAGATCATTATCTCTGCTGCTTAACATCGTTGAGTTGAGTTTCATTCTGAGTGACTGCCCAAGAGGATGGAGGATGTTATCGTTGACACTCTCGACGGTAGTGTCATAATTGATGGTGATACGGATTGATCACTGTACCTCATGAGCACGGCATCAGCCTCCCTCTAGCAGACTATCAGCTCCGCATTATCTCTCGAGGCTATCATTAGGCATGGAACATCATTACCTCAGACATATTAATAGTTCCCGAAGATTGAGATTATGAGGTAAACAGTCGATTCCTCGGTTAGGCGCGCGTCGACCAGTTTTGTACCGTTCTTCAGGTCCTTACCAGCGAATGCTAGGCGTTGGCGGTCGGAGGCGATTCCCGACGAGGTCTGGATCTTGGTCTTGAGATCGTCGACTGTGTCAGAGGGCTCAACACTGATGGTCAACAGTTTGCCAGTTGCTACGTAGAACGAACCATGTCAGTACTAATGAAACATTTTCGGGTTAGAGTATCGTACGGAGTTTAACGAAGATCTGCATCTTCAATTTAGGTATACCCGTTTTAGTTATGAGATGAAAGCGTTCAATGTCGGGTAGGTTCCGTTGAGAGATGTAGTTAAGGTACCCGGGAGTTTTGAAATACAGGGAGAAGCTCTCGGATGATGGTTGAGTACCATCGGGGTCCTATTTATCATCACGGACTCAAAGCACAGGATCGCCTTGCAGCACTCATATTCATACTGAATTAGGCACTTCATGATAGTATCTGACCTGGCCTCGAATGTCAGGAATTAGGAGTGACTGTGTCGTGATAAACCCCCAGCCAAGGCCTGACTGGGTCACCCCGATCGCTGTGATACAAAGCTGGGGAAGTTGCCTTTGAAGTGGAACCCACAGGGCAATGCGATGCGACCCGTCCCACACGGCCCGTCCCTTGAATCGGAAGCTACTCGACTACCTACTTAACGAGCTAAGCTACGAAATGTCGTGGTCGCTGCCAAGCACAAACACTGACCTGTTGTGTCACACGGCAATTTTGTTCCCAATAGTTCGACGGCAACAGTCAGTCTGAATCACTTCCTAGATCACCGAAAGGAACGTGGGAAAGGGCTTAGGACTAGGATACGCACCAACAGCACTTATACTCGGGGCGAGAGGAACATAAAACCAAGCGGAATTGGCAAGAGATCTAGAAGAGTTCCTTGAGATGGGTGTACTCGAATAAGTTCTTGTTTCTAGTCCTGAGGTATCATTTATCTAACATTGCTGCGCTAAAGCTTACAAGGTAGTAATACAAAGGTATAAGTAGATATCGTTTCCAACCAAACACAGGTCATTTCCTAGGCATAAGATTCGTGACAGATATGGTACATAATTGCAAGGAAATTCAAGACAGATAGATCAGGCAGATAAAGCATGTGTTACATGTAGGTTTAAAGAGAGGTTTAAGCATCACAGGTTAAACGTCGTGACCTAGAAGCCGTTAACACCAACAAACATTTCCGAGAAGGTGGATCCAGGAATTTATAACTTACGGCCGAGCTGCTTGCCCCGCTTCGAGACTTCGCGGGCGTGGTACTGCTTGATCTTGGCACGGCGGGCCTCCTCAGCGGCCTCGAGCTCCAGCCTCTTGACCTCGGCCCGGGCCTCGCGGACGCGGATGCGCGCGGATTCCAAGGCTCGGTCGGCGTCGCGCTCCGCCGTCTCGGCTTGCATGACGCGCTCGCGCGCTTGGATGATGGACGGGTCGATGTCCGGGTTCGACGTGTTCCCGTGGCCGAAGGTGCGTTGGAGTACGCTGCGGTGGCGCGAGGGGGATGTACCGTCTGTAAGGTGGTTTTGGGTTAGGTATTTATGTTATATACTATATTGGAAGATGATGATATATAGAGTAGGGCTTACCTGAGTGCCGCGAGCCATTCGTGCTGCTGGTGCGAGCGCTGACCGGAGGAGAGGGGCTGCGATGACGGGAGCCGAAGAGACTGTGTGAGTGTCTCTTTTCGGGGACGGGCTGCTCCTCTACGACTTCCTCTTCGGGTTTGCGGCTAGAGAAGAGAGGCATTTTGGTGATGGTTATGCGTATTTATGTAAGAATAAGCTTGTATAATAATTGTGTATAGAAGTTGATGACTTTCTCGTAGATGATATATGCCAGAATTCACCAAGTAGGATTCGTAGTTCTAGAGTGAGATTTGATTGAAAGAAAAGCCCATATCACATCGGCGGCATTCCTCCCTATTTCTACATTTTGGATATGCTGTGTATCCATCTCGATGTCCGTGACGCAAACCTGTTTCTGTTACTGGCAGTGGTGATGTATAATAGTAAGGGAGCAGATCGCTACTATGACGTAGGTGAAGCCAATCAAATACTATTTACCTGTGACTGGCCAATGAGAAGGAGGTGGTGACGAAAGCGGACCTATGAAGGACCCCTGAAGTTTAAAATGCAGGGACCATCATGGCCCTCCATTAGCTAAGCTAGGGCTGGCTAAGGCAGGGACTATGGACAAGGATAGTGGACATAGCGGGGATTTTGACGTTACTCAAGTGCCATCATTTCGTCCAATTCTATTTTCTCTCCTATCACAAAGTCACATCAACTTGGGAAACTTGATATTATCCTCGTCCATACCTAAGGGGATCTACCGAATACGGCATAGACAAGACACCTTACCCAGCCCGACGGTGCGCCATTTGAGCTATAAACCGGCAGTTGTTTGTCAGTTTGGCAGTCTGGCCTAGAGGTTCCAGCCCGGTGGCATCGAAATAATCTTGGAACTTGGCACACGGGTGTTTACCTCATCGTGCAGGAGTCTTATCTCGATCGCATTGCGTAAAGCATCACAGCCTGACAGCCTGCTATGCAGTAGCGTGTTAAACCTTCCGAACCCTTGACTTCTCTGTGCGTACATCGCATAGTTTCATTGAGTCGATCTCCGGTTGCCATTTCTGGCTGTCAACCGGCTTTGGATTGGTTGATAGATAATATTGGGCCTTCACTCCACGCAATTTGGAAGTGTCGTTCTAGAATTTCCGGGAATAGTTGATTCCTACACTACGCGAAAACTCCAAACTCCAAACCCTAAACCCCATACAAACGAACTAACCATAGAGTTATCCTTTTTTTAGTCCTCATAATACTTCATCTTCCCGTATTAAACACATACGGCTTTTCAGCTTATTCTATATGCACTATACCGAATGCCGTTAGTTATCGATACAATAACAGCGAAACCAGAAAACTTACTCATATACAACCTCTAAACCTTTCCAAAGGCAGCTTCCGATCCACAAGCCGGTATTCAATTTCGCAGCATACCTCTCGTCCGATGTCTTCATCGTGATAAACACCCTAAATGGACACAATCTTGGGTTCGCCTCTCGCGACGTCTCGGCATCTTGGAGCGCCTTCACCAACTCGGGGGACCCGGTCATATTTCCCCGCGTTTTACATTCAATACTGATACCTAGGTCAGCCTTAACGATTTTCGTTTTAAATTGACAGACGCACTATGCTGGTACTTCATCCGCAGTCTGTAGTCGATGAGTAGCCTCCACTTGAGTTGCTGCCGAATTCCCGTAAGCAACGTCTTGGCTTTCTTGTCCGCCATTCTACGCGAGGTCAGTTTTTCGCGCTACAGTTCTTAGATGTTGGATAACTCACGATAACGGATCCGTATCCAAATCGACCCGCAAAGGTACCGTCGGAAAATGTTGACCACTTCTTGAAGCCGTCGCTCACGGCGACAGAAGCTGATTGGGGATTTAAAATGACCCTCATCCGGAAATCGAAGTCCAGTTGCGGGGTTGGGATGGACATATGAGGATAAGGGAATCGCGCCATCGCTTCACTTGCTTCCTTCGTGATTTCACTTGCGATACGCTTGTTAGATCCAATAACAAAGGGCTACCATTCTAACGATTACCTTGGTGGCTTTGGACCTCTTTGCTGGAGGGCCTGGTTCTCAACCCATTTTCGTTCCACGGATTCCCATCCGCTGTGTCGTCTCTCCGACGCGACTTTCATCCACTCATCCGTCACGACTAGGGCCGTATCCCACTCCGAGTCTTCGCCTATGTCAGGCATACTCGATGACGATTGCGTCGGACCTGCTACCTCGGGTTGGTATGCATGGTCGCTCAACGGTGGGCGGCTGTGCCAGGAATTCATCGATGTTGAATTGACTGACGAACTTGTGAAAAAGGCCAATTACAAAGAATAGGTAGCAGCGGGAAACAGGAAAGACCGGTATTGCGAAATGGATATATTCTCTTGTACCAGATGCGCAATCGGCGATATGATCAACCCCGATGTTGGTGACACTAAAATCAATTATTCCCAAATCGGAGATGATGCAGCAGTGAGCTTATAGGGAGTCGGATGAAAGTCAGGCCGCAATGGGCGGCAGAAGTTGCACCGAGCCAAGTCCTACAGATCCCAAAGGAATGGTCCGACGAGTAAAGGCTTCGCTTGGTGAGAACGGCGGAGTACCGAATATCTGACTCGGAATCGGATTGCATGAGTACTTAGTCTACTCGGCGCATCTCCCTCTTTATGGTCCTCGGGCGCCCGTTGGATGAGACTGTGATGATTCCGTGGGATCATCGACAACCCGTTTGCTAATTGAATGGGACATGAATTCGAAGATCCGCTGACCGGGCCTGCATATTAGGGCCAACACCGACTTTTAAGACCTTTACACAAGATGTTACATCGATGATTCTACGGTATGAACTATTCATGCCTACCTATGTGCACTATGAAGGCTATTACGAAGGCCATAATATTTTCGCTTAGATTTTGTTGTCGCAGTCAGAACTAGATGATATTCTTGGTATTCTACTTGGTAATGAGGCATGGTGTTTCTAAATATGCTTGGTACATGTCTACGGTATGTATTCGTCCGCCGTCCCTCGTCCGTCGTATGCTGTCATTACTAAAATTTAATAATGAGCAAACAGAAAATATTCGCATGATGCATTCATAACCCATAAAACAATGCCTCCCAAATGCTGCTTCATTCGTAAAACTTAATAACACCCAATGCCAATTCGATACTCGTCGACGTATCCCTCCGCGGTGTCCATCCTAATATGTACTTCGCCAATTCCTACCAAATCTTGCATGTGAATGCAAAATGGTTCATGGTGCTTTTACCCTCGACATTTTTAAGGACCCAAGCCTTTTGCTTGCTGCCTAGATGGTGTCGCGCAACCTCAGCTGAGCATATGGAATTGTCTCATGTTGCTGCGATAACGGTGCTGGTAATAGCTCATGTTGACTGATGCATCTATGAACTTCGGTCGCTCGTTGCTTCGCTGTATTCATCCATCAGAGAAGACTGCGTGGGCGGTTGGAAAGGCATCTGTTTGATTCGGAGTTTTCAATAGGCGTGGACGGGTATGGGTAAGGCTCCGGAGACGGTGCTCCCGAACGCCTACCCCTATCCGGGTCAGAATTGCAAGAAGGTAGTTTGATGGTGGGTGGATTTGGCTGACCCATAGTATGACTCTAGGGCCTTGAGTATTGCAAGGTGAGGTCTTGATGCGGATCTGAAGCCATAATGATGGAAATGCCCTCTCTTTGTATGTTTTCCACACCAAGCATCGCGAAAGGGTTCATGCAGACTATGACTCCTTTGTTATCAGTCGCCAGGCAGCAACAGCCCACCTTGGATCCGGATATAAATGATGCCAAAGACAATGAGTGGTGAAGGTGGTTTGAATAAAGGTTTGAGGTATGTAGGTATCCTTCCAAGTTTAAGAACCAATCCAACCATTAACAAGACTTGTTAGATCCGACACGGGAGAAACTCAGCTTGATCCTATTTTGCGCGCATTTAATTTTCCTTTGTGAACCAACCTATTACATATTAATGATTAAACATTATGCTTTCCTCCCTAGTATGGGGGACTGGATTATTGGTTCCTGTTAATCATGGTACACATTTACTGTGAACGCTCAGCGTTCACATTCACGCGCTCGCCCGCCGCGGTGACCCACGGCCTGAGGTCGTTTTCGATTTCCACCCAGACCAGGTTTAGCTGGTGTTCACACCAGCTGTGGAGCCATATGATATCCCTGAGTTTCGCCGCGAGCACGTCTCGCTCAACGATGCCGCGCATCTGGCAATAATTCTTTAATGCGTTCACGAAGAACTCATGCTGGTCACCCTGCAGGATTGGGGAATCCAAAGATACCGGGATGCGGATGCACGACCCGATGAACAGCGACCAGAGCAGAATGTTAGCGTGAAGCTCATCTTTTGGCGGCCGAGATACGTTGGCTTGCGCAAGCTCGGATGGAGGGGCATATGTGGATATGCTGCCTGGCGGGGGCTGCACCGTGTTGCTTCGGTCTATCTGCGATTCAGGGGTCCTGTAGTCCTTGGATTGCGATAAGAGGTCCAATGCTAGAGCGGGATTGTAAAGGGCTGACATAAGTGCATCTCCTAATGCGCGGTGCCGCTGTGCTGATGGGGGCTGGCCTCTGATAGCGAGGTGCAGGAATAGATGCGCCGCATACAACAATACTTCTGATAAATCAGTCGGCGAAGGGTACCTCCTCTCCGTCTCCTCGATCGACGTCAGCAATGGAACAGAGCCAGCTCTCTTCCACGAATTCTGCGACCGCGATATCTCCTCGAGATGGCACAGGCGCCACTCGACCATGTAGATGGAGTCGCTGACCTGTATCCGCTGGCCATACGTGCTCTCGAGGCTGGCGTAGTCGAAGTCGTTGATGCACTCGGTGATAGAGTACAGCAGCTCGAAGAGCTCGACCGCCTCCCGGTTCTGGATCGTCAAGTCCTTGAGCCCGAGCGGCTCCATATTCGCCAGCATCGACCGGCTCGTAAACCGGTCGTGCAGGGCGAGCGAGGACGCGAGCTGCGGGATGAAGGGGAAGACTACGGGTGTGTGCGCCGCGGTCGCGTAGGAATAGTCGGCCCTACGGTGGTTGCGGTGGTTAGTGGGCAGGAGTGATAAGTGATATGGGTGTGTTTTACTAACCATGATATTGATCGTTGAAGGATAGTGCTGTGTTGAAAACCTTCGACGATACCCCCCCTGAGATCGACCATTCTTTTCAGGCCGCTCATGTGCGCTGCCGCTGCAGCTAGCGAACCGATGAAGGCCTATACCCTGTTAGTCTGACAGGTGACTACCCATTGAGTTCTGTTTTCTAGCGACAACCTACCTCAATGTTGACAAGAAGAGCAACGGCAACGACTAGACCGTCCGAGATGGGTTTGCTATCATCCTTGCCCTCTAGATTCAACCGCTCGTTGATAGACTTGACCGCTTGGAAACGGTGGAAATCGATGGTACTCGTGTCGGCCCACATTGCGAGCGAGTTATGCATCGCCGCTATCATGGCAATGAATGCATGCGTAGCGGCCTTGTCAAGTTGAAGCTATCGCACGTTAACCCCAACCGCGTGACCAAGCAACAGGCGGACTTACAGCTTGGACCCAAGTCCCCTCGGGGTTCATCGCGAAGGCGTTCGCAAGAAACCCGGAATAATCTACCCTCATTCTGTCAACGACCTCGCTTCACACTTGAAGAGGTCTGACTTACATGTGTTCAAATACGTCGGCGCCCCGGTGCGATTGAACCATTTCTCTACAGCATCTTCCTGCGGCGATAAGCATACGGCCATACAATATTTGAGCAGGGACTCCGTCAAGGGGGTCTTTTCTATGTGCAGCAGCGTGAAGTTCGGGAGCTCCCTCGCGACGCTTACAGCAAGCCAGTTGGTTTTCTTCAGCTTCCTCTCGCTCCTCGACGCCACCGCGTCCTGCTTGCCGCTGCCGCCGTTGGGCTTCAGCCGGAATTTCGACGTGTGGTCCTTTTGCGACCCGGACTTCTTGGTTCCCTGCGGCGGCTGGCTGGGGCCATGGGGTAGCTTCTGCCGCCGCGCGTGCGAGCGCACCTTCCGGCGTGTCTCGTCATCGCGCGCTACCGTGTTGATGGAGGTGATGAATTGAAAACCAGAAGGAGCTTGGCTCGGTGCCATTGCGCAGCGATGACGGGTGAGTTTTCTAGCGTAGGATGCTAAGTCCCGGGACTTTTCAGATATAGACCAATCCTTCTCAGGGTACCTATATATGACTGTAGTACGGTGACAGTGATATTGCTGACACCCTTTGTAAGCGCCGTATCCAAAGTTATATATGGGTTGGGGTTGTCTTACTCGACCACCACATGCTAAGAGCTAAGAGCTTTTAAATTGCGAATACCAGATTCATCGAAGTTAAGCTTGCATTTTGGCATTTTGCTCCGAGAGGGAGAGGAGCGTTGGTTCGTTTATTAAAATAGGAACACGCAGCCGCTCGGGCTACGAGATGTAGTACGGAGCAACATGTTATTATTATTGCGCGGTTGCCCTGGGGGGTTTCGCATGTATGTATGCGCTCTCTGGAATCGCTATCATCGTCGTTCTATTATGACAAATCTACCTATATCAGAACCGCAATCCGCGACCTTTCTCGACTCCCACCCCCTCTCCCCCCTTGGTCAATAACTATCGTCGAGTCGCAGCCGATGGCTGCAAACAGTAAGCTCCGGTGCAAATCGAACGCCCCAAAAGAAAGGGACGCCCCGGGGAACCGCTATTTACCAACGCAACCCCATCGCGAAAAAAGAACCCCTGGAGCTGCTTAAATTTCCGTCCCTTTCCCTTTTTCCCCATCCCCAACTTAATGACTGAGTGACGGGAGAGATGTATGTACGTACAATGTAGGTATGTATGTGTGGTTACCCAACCCCACGGCAAATCCCGCGTAGGTAAACGACCCCTTGTAGTGTACCTGGCCATGCGGGTGGAGCTATCATTTTAGCAGCTTCAATTTGGGGGCTTCTGCTCCGCCGCTATCCCACGTCAAGTCGAACGTCGTAGCGGTAGTGGTAGCCCACCCCTAGAGCTACGGGGCGGAATTAGGATCTCACGGCCCGTACGGACGGTTTGATGACGATGATGGCCATTGAAGGATCGACTGTTGATAGGATCGGTACATACCTCCCGAACTACACACATAGGTACATACATGTTACATGTCATACTTACCTATGTAGGCATGTAACATGTAATACAGCGTACTAAGAACGTTGATGACAGTTACCGCATGGCGCATGATAAATTGAATATTGATGTTGGGGGCTGCGTCGTAGAGCGTATTAAGGTGCCGCATCATGACTGATCTCCTGCAAGCTCCGGGCCTGGCTGAGGGTGGCGGAGCTTTTTTTCGATATGCATGTTCGTCTGATGACAGTTCCGAATTCCAGGTAACAGCATGCAGAGCATGATCTCCGTCCATACCTTACCGATATAGCGACATGCGAGGTGGGTCCTACCTAACCTTCGACGATCCCCGACCACTGGACCATTCAGCCATTTTACCTACATACACTACCAGACCTACATACCCTAACATCGTGTTGTACATATCGTTCGCGCGCGCGCGCGCTCGCTCCTTATCCCGGTCCTAGCCAGGGGAGTTTCCTCATTGTCCCGAATAGGAAATTCAGAAGGTCTTGGCGACATCTTGGCGCGAGCTCAACCGCTCCCGCGATATTTCCCTGAACTGCAACCCAGACCTCTCTCTGCCTTTGGTAGAGCTTGGCCTGGCCTGGCCTGGCCTGCCCGTCTCGCGATTTTGGCTGGTCACCTGGCTTTTGGCTTTCATTAGTAAATTCTGCGTAAGGGTGGCTATTTTGGGTTTTAGGTAGCGAATCATTCATGTATGTGCATTTTTTTCCTCCCGCCGTATCTGTTCGGATGATTCCGCCCGGTCAACAGTACGCGGGATGTAATGTGAAAAGCTTAGTATCGGGTGTATTACTTGCTCTACCGAGTTCCCCATATCGTCTAGCCTCAGAACGTATCTACCGTGTCACCAGATCTTGCAGCTGCTGCTACTTTAAACACCATTAACATTAATGTAGCGTATTGGTTGCTACGCCTAGAATAGTCCAACTTTTGCATATCCAGGACACCTCTTGCAATACAATGTGTCCATCACCAGCTTCTCTGAGTAGGTAACTCGTTAACATTATTAGGGTGAGTATCGACCTGCTACTTTGGGAGTTGATTATATTGACTTCGATATTAACTCCTAGTAACTCATCACTCTTGCTAGGTATAAATGAGTTCAATTTGTGAGGCTTAGGTATATGGCTGATCCTGTCTGTGCGATAGATAGGAGAACCATTATCCCGCTGGCTTGGGACTCGACGGTTGTGTATGTACATCATACTGGCACTCCTGAAGTCTGTGACATCGGACGAAATTATCGGCTATTGTTGATAAGTAACTTACAGACGTTGGGCGATGAGCCTCGAACGCCAAGATCAGGCGGATCTGTAACCGTGTGGATTGTTTGGTAGGTAATTACTATGCTTGTTCTTATTCTCGGTTATATGTAGCAACGCGTTGCTATAGCGTCGCGTAGCTAATAGTAGAGGATTTGAAGACTAGGCCAAGTGGCGCGAGATTTGCGTCCTGAGACGTTACTTGGTTTGAGTCAAAAATAGCGTACCTTTATTGATTACTGTCGAGCTATCCTCAACCCGGGATTTCCTATACGCATGATGAATAATCGGCGTTTTTGTCTAATCCGAGTATGGCTGGCTCAAGATTATCGTCTGAAGTGTTTTTGGCTTAATGATCGTATCCTTGTTCACACGATGTTGACTGTGGAGCTCAGCCTTAGCTGAGTAACTTATAGGTGGAGGCTCTACTAAGCTAACGGCCGAATCGTTTATCCTAGTATCCACGCGGCTATATGCCATATGGTTAAGAGTGTATCACAATCTCTAACGATCATGAGAAAAGTTTCCTAAGAGGGTAATGGCCGTAATGACATCCCCGCTTGCTGGCATCCGCCTCTGAGGTAACCAAAATCCAACCAAAATCCTTCGTGGCATACTAACTGCCGGAAACGCCTCAAGCTCGATATTTCGTTAGGAATGTGTCCCTGGATAATCACCAAGGCAGTACTAAAGATGACGTTAAATCTGATACTAATTCCGACCACTACTCCTATTCGCATGTAGGAGCACACGCGAGACTCGCTATTAAATCACGAGAAACCACCTCGAAACTAGCATTAAGATTAGGCATTGATGACTTTGACTACCGCTGGTGTGATCTCTTGGGCGGTTATCGCATGAGAAACCCGCAATGTCGTAGGTGCCATGAAAAAGGGGTTCTGTTTTGTCTGGTGAAGTTTGTGGTGGTTGATCTAGTGAGAGCACACTGACTCGTATTACACCATCATTACTAATATGATTTCTAAGGTCCAGTCCGTTAGCAAGCAAGCCGTTGAAGGTTTGGTCAGATCGAAGTCTGGCCCATAAGAGGCGTGGTCTGTTGGGAGAAGACCTGTTGGTGGCTGGTCTTAGGACAACGTAGAAAATAAGCTTAACTTTCAAGTTCACCGTGGTCCTAGGTAGAGTACCTGAAAGCTGCTCATGTCGGTCTTTCTACACTCACAGGTCTCTATCCCGATTCATGGATAGGCGGAAAACGAAGATGATGTCGATACCATGACTATAATGCTGTCACTGGATATGGCATCAAACAGGTCGCTAAATACTCCGAGTTTTAGGCCATGGCTTAAGGCTTAAGTAAAATAAGGCTCTTGTAGAGCTAAAGGCGGAGTCCCCGCAAGGCTTAGGCTAAAATAGCCTTCGTCGTTTAGCTTAGACTAGACTTCGGTCTAAGTGAAAACGTCAATAAGTTGAAGCTATCCGCACCCACTTCTGTACAAGCAAACCACGCTGATATTATGCCAATTTCATGTCATGCTAAAGGCTCCAATAGACTTCGGGCGCTTAGGAGGTTCTCCGTATTTCTCAGGCAGTCTATCAATGCTCTTCCGAAGAACCCCCAGGTCAGATTTGAGACGATAGGCTGCCGATATCTAATGGAACTAATATCTTGATGAAGTATTCTAGCAGCCCGTTATCAGCAGCATAGCCTAGATAATATGGGAGCAACACATGTTGAAAATACGTTGGGGTTGAGTTCATATATGACGCGTGGCTGGCTCTTATGAACATAATAAAGTGTTAGAAAAGCGTAAATATTGAAGTGGCGTCTACCTCAAAAATCGGAGATAGTCTAGTTCTATTTCCCATATAGAACATATATATGGAGAACACCCAACATGAGATTCATCAAATACCAGCTAGAAATCGGTTCGAAAACAGAATTAAGCTTGAGAAAAGATCTAGATCAAGCTCCACTCAGAGACGACGGCAGGAAAACGTGTTGCTGGTACGTACCTCTATGGCCCACTTTATACTTAAAATGTGGGGCTGACTAATAATGGAAGAAAAAAATTTCGAGGGGCTGCCCGATAAGGCTAATTATTTTTTGAAATGGGCTTTTGGAAGATAACCAATCTCACTTTTCTCACAATCTCAATTTCGTATTAACAAAATAAGACGCTGGTTCACCGACAAACCTTCCAGCGCCCACGATCGAGGGCATTCCGGGCAGTTTCGGCTCGCCCTTCTTCAACGCTCTGCGACGCCCATTCCTAGTTTTAAGCAACTCGGGCTGTCTTTGTCTTATTCTGCCTAATCTGTCAACACCGACCGCTCACGATGCCTCACCAAGTCTCGCCGCCGCTAATGGTGGCCAAATCCGGCGATGCCCCTCCCCCGCCTTCGCAACAAGATATATCGTCAATTCTGAATACCATTTTCACTGCTAAGACTTCTGCTGCTTCAATCGATGCCTGCTATGGCCTTTGCGAACTACTTCTAAACACTGTCGGTTTTCGTGGTCTCCATGAATACGGCATAGTGGCAGAACTCAAGAAGGCTGCTTCCGACAAGAAGAGTGGTTTGCGACGAGAGAGCGCCCAGAATCTTCTTGGCGCCCTTTTCGAGAAATTCCCACCCCGACAGCAATCAAGCGAAGTCGTTTTCCTCGTTCAAGATGGCGGTCTAGTATCAATTGCCTTAGACGCTTTAGCCGACAAAGGCACGGTGGTTCGTGATGCTGCGCAATACGGTCTTGATGCCCTCTTCGGCTTTTTGAGTCCCGAGGCCATGGTCGTTGGCTTGTTGCCTGCTCTTGTCGCGTACCTGTCCAAGAAGACTGGAAAGTGGCAGGGCACAGTTGGCGCCTTAAAATTGATGCAGAGGATGGCTGACAAAGCGAAGATGGAGATTGGTTGCACGAAAGAGCAGGCTCAGGAGAAGGATATTCTCAGAGAAGCTATGGGAGCAAAGCTCGCTAGTTTGATCCCCATAGTCGAAGGCAACATGCACGATCTTAAGTCCGAGGTTGAGAAGCAGGCGCTTATCACGATGCAGTCCCTTACCACATTGCTGTCCAACGATGATGTCGCTCCTAGGATTCCTCTCCTTGTCGACACCATGCATCATCCCTCTACCCAGACCCTCCAGAAAGCAATCCATGCTCTTTCCCAGACGACCTTTGTTGCCGAAGTGACATCTCCTGTCCTCGCCCTTCTAACACCCTTCCTCGAGAGAACTCTCAACAACCCCACCACTGCTCAGGAGGTATTGCGACAGACTGTCGTGATTACGGAAAACCTGACCAAGCTGGTCCACGATCCTATCGAGGCGCGTACATTCCTACCTAAACTTCAGCCTGGTGTGAAGAGCGTCGTCGGGCGCGCTCCGCTACCCGAGGTGCGAGAGATAGCGACTAGAGCCTTGGATGTTATGGATAAGGCTATGGGTAATGATAATGCAGTGGTGGAGAGATGCTCTGCGGAAGATGTCGCCAAAGTGCTTGACGCCGAGATTAAGAAGAACGGAGGATTGTCAGGTGACCTGGAATTCTACAAAATCGCTCGCCCTTACATCTGCGAGATGGTGACCGAGGATGCCAATCATCGCCAGGTTGATCGAATTCCTGCTAGGATTGTGCCCTATTTAAAAGATTTGATGCATCAGCCTGGTGCCAGTGAGGCTGTTGCCTCCAGCGTCCATGAGTTCTACGTTGCCGAGGACCACCGCAAGTATGGTGTGCCAGAGAAAGAGGACGACGGCGAGACCGAAATCGTCAATGCTGACTTTTCGCTGGCCTATGGTGGTATGCTTCTTCTGTCTCATACCAACCTCCGCTTATTGAAGGGACACCGATATGGCCTTTGTGGTCGTAACGGTGCTGGAAAGTCTACCCTTATGAAGAGCATTGCTGGCGGGAAGTTGGAAGGCTTCCCGCCACAGGATGTCCTTCGCACTTGTTACGTCGAGCATAACCAAGGAGAAGACGCCGATATAAGCATCTTAGAGTTCATGGTCAAAGACCCTACAATCGCATCCGAAGGCAGGGAGAGAATCTCTGAGGTGCTTGCTGAGTTCGGATTTACCGCAGGCCCCGAAGGTAGACAAGCTCAAAAGGTCGGTTCGCTTTCGGGAGGTTGGAAGATGAAGCTCGCTCTTGCTCGGGCAATGTTGCAAAAAGCCGATGTTCTGTTGCTCGACGAACCTACCAATCACTTGGATGTTGCCAACATTGCGTGGTTAGAAAATTACTTGAAGACTCACACAGATATCACTAGTTTGATTGTTTCTCACGACTCAGGTTTCCTGGATAATGTAACGACTGATATCTACCATTACGAACCCGGAAAGAAACTCGGCCATTTCAAAGGCAATCTCTCGGACTTCGTCAAGGTCCGCCCAGAAGCCAAGGCTTATTACACTCTTTCTGCCTCCAATGTCCAGTTCAAGTTCCCACCTCCGGGTATTCTGACTGGTGTCAAATCCCAAACGAGAGCTATCATTCGCATGACTGGAGTTTCTTACCAGTATCCTAAGGCGCCTAAGCCATCGCTCAGCGATGTCTCTTGCCAGCTGTCTCTTTCATCCCGTGTCGCTGTGATCGGGCCCAACGGTGCAGGAAAATCAACTTTGATCAAGTTGTTGACAGGAGAAGTGATTCCGACTAGCGGCAAAGTCGAGAAGCACCCTAACCTGCGAATTGGTTACATCAAGCAACACGCTCTTGAGCACGTTGAGATGCATCTCGAGAAAACGCCCAATCAATATCTACAATGGCGATATGCCAATGGAGATGACCGAGAAGTGTTCTTGAAACAAACTCGTATTCTTTCCGACAAGGATAAGGAGCAAATGGACAAGCGAATTAACCTCAATGACGGAAAGGGTGAACGGCAAGTCGAGGCTCTTGTCGGTCGCCAGAAGTACAAGAAGACTTTCCAATATGAAGTGTAAGTTTGCTGCCAATATTCCGTATGAAAAAAGCTAGTATTAACAATATATAGGAAATGGAGGGCTTGGCTACCAAAGTATAACTCGCAAGTGTCTCGTGAGACCCTTATTGAATGGGGCTTCGACAAACTTGTACAGGAATTTGACGATCACGAAGCGTCTCGTGAGGGTCTTGGTTACCGAGAGCTTCAACCGGTCGTCATCTCTAAGCACTTCGAGGATCTCGGCCTTGATCCCGAGATTGCTAACCACAACGAAATTGGTAGTTTGTCGGGAGGTCAGAAGGTCAAGGTTGTTATCGCTGGTGCCATGTGGAACAACCCACATCTACTCGTGCTTGACGAACCTACCAACTTCTTGGACCGTGATTCTCTCGGTGGTCTTGCTGTCGCGATTCGAGATTTCAAGGGCGGCGTGGTCATGATTTCCCACAATGAAGAATTCGTCGGTGCCCTGGCCAGTGAACAATGGCACATCAACGATGGAAAGATGGTCTTGAAGGGCAATGCTTCGATCGCCACAGACCGCTTTGAGGATAGCAAACCAAACAGCGGTCTTACTAGCGCTATCACAAGTGGGGTCAATAGTACAGCCGCTAGCAGCGCCGTGAGCAGTGCTGTGAATTCCGGTGTTGAAGATAACTCGCCGCTGAAGTTCAAGTCCAAGAAGAAGAGGAAGAAGACCAAGAAGGAGCTGAAGGAGCAGGAAGTTCGCAGACGACTACGACATATCGAATGGCTCAACAGTCCGAAGGGTACTCCACACCCTCCCGACACCGATGACGAAGAGTAATGGCATTTCACTCTTTTCCCGCACGACACTTTACCTGAGTTTGGCACGCATTTCTTTCTAGCAGGTGGTGGTTTTCTTTTCCTTCCGGGCTTGGCTCCCGTAGATGAGGTCGTCCATAGAATCGGGGACGAATTGGAAATTGGCATTTTAATCGACCGCACAATAGAAGGTCTCACAGGCGTTAATTTAGACGGACGGATGGCATGATAGAACGAGGATACTTAGTATTCGCGCGGCTTGCTAGAAGCTAGTAGATGAATGAACAGTATTATACAGATGATTCCACGTCTCGCGGCTTGGTTGGGTGTGATTGCCTACGTGTGTTATTTATTCACTGTAAGACATGTTATGTGGTAGGTAAAATTCAATCGTCCATCAATTAATTGCACATGCGCCTTCTAATGTCGATTTGTATGCGACATTAATTAAAGCAATAGTTTGATTGTTTGAATATAGGTATTTCTCTGACACAGTTCGTTGATAGATAACACTTGACCATCAAAAATTCAATTTCGAGAAGACCAATTTCTTCACCGCGCCGCGTTGGAACGAACACGTAAGATAAGAAAGGAGGGAAAAAATGGAACTGTTGGAGATTTCTCTTCGGAATGAAAAATAAATTGCCCACTACTGGAATCGAACCAGTGATCTCATCATCACACTAGATGTGGTACTAGTGATGCGCTTTACCACTAAGCCAAGCGGGCAAGCTATCATGTCTGTTGTGCTGACTAAGTGACTTGCTGTTGAAGGAAATGTGCGATAATGTGGTAGATATTGCATGCACAAGCATTGTTGTACGTGTCCACAGGTAAATCGGACAACTTTCGATCAATCGGAAAATCACTGCATGTTGGCTAACTTCCATCTTGATTGGCTAACTCGGAGGGTTACTCCCTGTAACTACAGGAGGATCCCCGCTATTGTGAGCCAATGAGCGCTTGCTACTTCGTACGGAATAGGATATTATCGAGCACGTCCGTTCGTCAACACCCCTTTTCTCAAAGTTTTCCGCTTGATGAAGATTTGAAAGTTGTCGCTATGCTTGTCTGGGAACGGAGTCTTACAAGTGAGTATCTTGTCAATTATTTTGCTTCACTAGTCAGTGTGGAGGGTTTCGCATTGAAAGTAGCATTATGAGATTTTTAATTGCTACGTCCTTGAATTTATGAAGTGCTCTGCCTCCTGAACACCGTTTAGAGAAAGCGTCAGTTAAGGAGATACTATAGGTTCATCCCAGCGATGCGTACATGCTTGCGACCACGTACTATGCTGCATTGTTATTGTGAGTCACACTACCCCCTTCATTTCCTATCCAAGTAACTTATACGCTCTTTGGTGGGAGTTGATGCCGATTACGTGATATGGGGGATAGTCGGACATACAATCCATTCTAGCATTCTACCCCGTGTGAATTGACTAGAAATCAGAAGAACAAATCATTATATGTATACAATATCATAGCTTTCCAAATCTTTCCAGCGCTATACTTTGGGCGTCACTTTGTTTCGGGACCTTGCTTCTGACCTCTGTCTGCCGTCTTGGTCTCGTCCTTGACTTGGCGCTTTGCCTTTGCAGCGGCCGATGTTAACTCCATTATCATTCCCATGGTATTGACCAAGTTCTTATACGCCTCGTTCTCTGCGTCGCCCTGTGTCTTAGACTCGTCTCCTGGGCTCGTTCTGCCCTCGGACGGCTCCTTTTGTTCGTTTGTGGGATTATCTGACATCGTTCCTGCTTGGGTAACGATATGGTATCGATGGAAAAGGCAAAGGGCTGTACTAGCTATTTAGTTCAGATGATAAGATCGCACTTCTTTCGGGAGAGTTTGTAGATTCTTGAGAATGAGTTATGTTCGTTCCCTAGAGTGTTAAGTCCTGTGTTTTCTTAGCGGAAATCTGATGTCCTTCGTACTTCTAGAGAGAAACTAAAGTGATAAAGATGCTATCAAAGGATGGCCCTGTGTTAGGGAACGCCCTTTAAGGCTAAGGAAATCACTGTATCAGATTTAAGATCGCGAGTGCTCTACATGACTCCTAAATCAATCATAAACTACGTAGAATCTCACAAAACGTGCCGTATTATACAGCGTAGGTAATACAGATGTATATTATTGGGATGGCAGGTCTTCAATGATGCAATTCGTGCAATTATAATACGTATCATCTAGGACTCAGATGAGCGACATGTTACAATATCAAACGTGTACTGCGGTGCAGATACCTTTGTCATGATGGGATTCAAAAGGACAACCTTGAAGGTTGTCGCGTATAACAAGTGCTACTACCTCTTCATTCTTTCCTTCTAGGAACTCCTTCCTCCTTCATCTCCCAACATCAAACCTTCTACCACTAATAACAGTTGATGATCTAAGCTTAAGGGGCCTGTGGCTCAGTGGTAGAGCGCCCGCTTAGCAGATCACCTGCGGGAGGTCCAGGGTTCGATTCCCTGCTGGTCCATGTATAGGTATCTATATTCCTTTTTTGAATTCCAATGTATTTCGACATACTAATTTTATATCCAAAGTAACAATTTTCTTCACGTAACTTAGTAGGTAGACAGAAACTCCCTTAGTATTAGCAGTGTTGCATCACCCGAAAGTTGTCCTCGCCGACCCCTTACCCTTCACACCATCTCTTGCAGCTTTACTCAGTCCTAATCAGGCGCTACTCAGGGGAGACTCAGCCCTTGCTCACGACAGCTCAAGGAGAACATCAAAATGAGATTAGCGAGGGAAATTATTTCCTGAATCAAGGGAGGTGAAAATGAAATGTCAACTTTTCGCGAGGTGGCAGCTTGTTGGGAACTGAGTTCAGAAACGGGACCCTGTAGTCTACAAACACACGCCAGCCTTATTTACACATAAAAGCCTGGTTTCTGTCTTGAGCCTCTTCGACTCTTGCCTTATGCTCATTTCTTCTTTTAATTTCCTATTTTTCGTCCCGCCCACATCTAATAGGCGATGAGCTTCCTATCCCAGCACCTTAGCTGTTCTGTCGCCACGCACCTAACCTAACCATTAGATCGTCAAAGGTCGTCAAAATGGGTAAAAATCAAACAGCAGAAGAGAGGAGGAGATATGCAAAGCAGAATGGGTTTGAAGATTGTCACGAGGCGGAACCAAGAAGCTAGGGAAGAACGACGTTGTTGCGCGAAGAGCTCTAACTAACCCCTTCCAGGGAACGCGGTATACATACATGAACCTTCCTTTGTCTATAGCTAAGGGCTAGCTGCCAACAGGGCGGCCTCGTACAGGCCGACTCCCGATACCTCTGACTACCAGCTCTCATGGAGGAAGCTTCTGACAGTCCTCTCATCCATGGCATAACAGGTTGACACACAGTATGTCAACATTGCTCAGTGATTACCCTTGTGGCTTCTTAAAACAAGTTTTAGAGGTCCTGGGGCAGCTGTGAAAAAGTCGGTCGTTTGCTTCAAGACTGACTCCTTGTCTTCCCCCGGAGCAAATGAAAAATCAAACTCAGTGACGAGAAGAGCGACCGCAACACGCATTTCCATCAGGCTAAAATTCTTGCCGAGACAGATATGTTTACCTATATTGCATCGATTTATTAGCGAATGGGTCATTTGCTAATAAAAGCATTGACACCTATGATCCTCTATGGTATTAGAGATCCAAAGGCGCATGTGTTGTGTTTCTAGCTCAAGATCAGGTATGTAAACTCACCTATTCCCCACGGCATAAAAGCCCTCTTATCCAATATTAACTCGGGCCGTGTCGTAAATCTTTCTGGTATCCAGTCATCCGGCCTGGAAAAATTGCGCTTGTCTATGATCAAGTCCATGATTAGCAATCTTTGGATTTTCATAATATGAGAAATAATAGGTACCCACCTCGTTGTAGACTATACTGTGGCGTGACTATCGTCGTCCCATAGGCTATATAAACTCCGTTGAGAGTTATCCCTCCGTGGGGAGGAAGACGGTAGCTTCCTGACGGGACACCTGGGTGTAGACGGAGGGTTTCGTATAAGCACGCGTTTAAGTGAGGTTGTATTTGTAGGGCTCGGTAGTCATGTAAGTCGATGAGACTTAGTTCCTGGCGAATGAGGCCAACATGATTGGGCTCACGGGTAAGGTAATACATGAGATCAACCAGAGCTTGCCATGGCGGGTCGCTGGAAGAATTAGATAAATTTGTCTGTGAATCAATATCCATCTTATTCAATACGTACCTGCCTGCTACCACCGCGATGATAAAGTCGCCAAACACATCGTTGAAGTTCCGCCCAACACCACCATGTTTTATAGCATCTTCAATAATATGCTTCATCACGTCTGTTCGGTCACTATTATGATTGAGGTTCTGAGCCTCAAAGTCAGCATAACAAGTCATGTGTCAGGCTAGAAACATACTTCAATATTCTTTGCCAATTGATCATTTGCCCACTCATTGTACTGCCGGAGGTCTTTCATTCGCGTGATAAAAGGGATGCTCATGAAGAGGTGCTGAATCCACGGTGCCGGCGCGAACAAGCCCAGGTTCCTATGGGCCCTACGAAATAGTGAGATGATGGAGTCCTCGCACCTAGAAAGGCCCCTAAATCTGACACCCATTGAGACCAGACCCATTAGATCAAATGTATAATATTCGAGCCATTGAGTCATATTAATGATCCCATTCTCTCGGTATCGCAACTCGTCAATGAGCTTGTGGGCGAGTTCGTAGACGACTGGCTCGAGACGTTCCAAAGCTGGGAAATGTTTAATACTTAAGAGTAGAGGGTCAAAGTATAGGCACAGAAGAAAAAAACATTTAACTTGCATTTTATACTCATTGCTTGATCCCACACCTTGTGCCGGTGTGCATGGACAACAGGGTCTCGTGTCGTCTGTACCGACACCATAGGTTTAAGGATATCATAGTAGGCAGCTTTGGTGCAGGTTGTATCTGAACCATGAACCTGGAAGTAGGCATCGGTACCAAAGACCGTTACCTCATTGGGGCCTTGAAAGAGGTCAATATAGATTGATTAGAACGTCTAATATAGACAAAGTAACTCACCAGTGCGTACTACATCTCCATACTCGCGTTGGAGCTGGTGTAGGTCTTTGAAGTTCTGACCTCGAGCTGTATCCCATACATGTGTCAATTTCGTCCATCGAAGTCGTAAAGGACCTGGAATATGACGCAAGGGCGACAGAACAAGGCGAAAGGCGATGATGCTAAACATGAGGCTTGCAAGGTAGGCTAAGCCAATGGCAAGACTTTGATCAATAGCATGCCATATTGATAGCTTTGCGAGACTCCATTCCGAGTAGCCTATTAGGATGCTGAGTAGAATATGAACTCGGGCGATATTTGGAGCCTCTAAGTCATGTTCGCCATGAATGAAGTACGTCCAATGGGCAATGAGCCCGGCTAGTACAGCAACATATAATTCGCTGTGATATAGAAACATCACGGACATTTTTGTGAATATCGAATAATAGGCGGATGGTCTGTTTCTTTGGGATAGAAACAAGAGAGCTGTAGGTTTCCAAAAAGGGGAAGTGCTTGCTATATGATAGCAGCATCCCATATCTACATACCTAAATAGTAGGCAACGGTACACTAACGTTCAAGGAGTATGAAGATATAAATAGGGTGACCTTAAGAGCAGGTAACTTCGAGGTAAGAAGTAGATATGTCAAGGTTTGTCTTGGAGTATTAAAAATAACCTACGTAGCACTTAGTACGTACTAAGGTGCCTACAATGAGGCTTCGCAAGCTCGTGCTAGGTTTCAAAAGGGACATAAGCAAAAAGTAAATATAAAATGGCTCCTCCTCTGTACGGTCAAGAGATCCGTTTGAATCTAGGTTCTATCACCCAAGCCCTCTTCAAAATAAAATGTCGTCAGAGTTAAAAGATAGTTACGTTTTCCCAAGGGATCACGTCGATAACATTCGGTTTGTGAACGTTTTCCTCGGAGGCCTACCTTCTAACACTTTTGATAGGTAGATTGCTGACTCTTTGTGACAAACACCATAGAATAAACCTGCAGCATTACCTTTGGGTGGCGCAATTCGGATACCTTACACATCCAAAAATTCCCCTGAATGGCGCTCACTTGAAGATTGCGGATGTTGGTACTGGAACGGGGTAAGTCGTCTTCAAGTCTCCCTCGCGCCGCAGCTTGATTAACTCTATGGAAATCACAGAGCCTGGCTTATGGATTTGGGGTCTCGGTTGCCCGAGTCGACGCAGCTGAGCGGGTTGGACATATCATCCGACGCTCTGCCACCGGACGAATGGCTGCCCCCCAATATGACTTTCCGGAAATGGAATATCAAAGATGACGTTCCAGAAGATCTGGTAGGACAGTACGACATCGTTCATGTGAGGAACTTTGTCTATGTGCTTCAAGATGATGAAATTCCGAGAGTACTTGACAGCCTCGTGAAGTTGATGAGTAAGCATACCCCCCTGAGTCGATGTTTCGGTAGCTACTAGGTATATATGGATTATTGACTCATTTGCGGGTAGAACCTGGGGGATATCTCCAGTGGGGGGAGGTGGACCCAACGTCGTATCGTATCACCAAGACCAAACCGGGCAACAGGGTTGAGGAGCTTGATCGGCTCATGAAGCTGGCGCTGAGTTCTAACACGCGGCTTACCCCAACGTGGGTCACCATCCTCGGAACTATTTTCCAAGAAGGTGGTTTGGAAGGAATCGAATGCGACGTCCGCGAGGCTCCGCCCCCACATATCAATCTCGCGGTGCATGAGTGCAGCCTGCTGATCCCGGAACTCCTCATGCGTGCGACTGAGAACAAAGAGCTCGCACAGCGCCTGGCTGACACCATGCGGCAGGCTCTGGAACAGACTCGGGAGGGGGCGGCGTGGACATTTACGCGGTTGACTGTTATCGGTCGGAAGTCAAATGTAGTGTGACGTGATGTGTAGTATTGGTATTTGAGAGGAACCCAATCAAAAGAAAGAGTTAGACAAGTGCGAGTTTAACCTACATATCAGTATGCATTCTTCAATCTGCACTACCTTCAGATCCAATACTCTAGCTCACCTCGCAAATAGGTGGGTAGCAGTGCATAAAATCGATGTAAGGTAACCTAACTGTGTTTCACGTAAAGGTACCTACTTACCTATGTAGTAGATACCCACGGGGAAGTACTACGTAGGTAGGCAGATATTCCTCGGGTATTACTGTTGGCTGTTTCTACGATATACTTAAAACTTAGATTAAATGTAACCATCAACATATTGGTAGGGAGGCTGCCTACCCAGGTACCTAGTACGTATTTGGAGAAGGTCGAACGAGAATACAATATGGATTTACCTAGGTAAGAGACGATTCAAGATACTTGTATAGTTCTTTTGAAAAATACCATCCAATGTTAAGCCTGGCCCAAGTGTCTATGCCTCATGCCATGCCTTCCTCGATATCCGCCGCGACTTTATCAATAACATCAATGATATCATTTGTCGCAGTTAGGTGTGGACAGTGGTCCGTATCTAAAGTAACCAGATGCGGATCCTGAAGGCCAAGCTCTTTCACTCGTTCCAACATGAGTTTTTGACCGGTGTATGTCACAGTATTGTCATTAGTGGTGTGGATATATGTGACTGGAATGTCTTTCCAGGCACAATGTGAGAGGGGTTGAGTCATAGACTTGACACTCCAGGGCACAAGTGTTGCGATGTAGGCTTCTGCTTCGGCGTCGTCTTTGACACTGTTGATTAACTGTCCCCTAGGATCTATCAAAGTGCAGTAGCCCTCACCGTCGAAGGCGAGTTTCAGCTGCATCGCTTTCACGGTCTCAATGCCTCGCGATTTGCCTTGGTCTAACGTAGACCAACCTTCGGGTAAGATAAAGGCGCACATATAGATTAGATGCGACACGCCACCAGGCAGTCCCTGCTTTATGCGTGTATGGCAGGATAGGCCATGGAGGGCGTTGGTGCCTACTTGACCGCCGTAGGAATGCAGAAGAGCAATGACATTATGGCCAGCTTCGACGAGGCTCTCCACACACGAACGGATTAACGCGGTGTCGGAAAGGAGGTCGCCATCGGGAGGCCTCGTGCCGTTCGTGGACGGGAGGTGAGGGATATGTACTTCATAGCCAGCGGACCGAAGAATAGCCACAATCTTGTCGAAGGAGGCTGGGACATGCCAGGCGCCGTGGACAAGAACCAGGATTGGCTTTTTCGGAGCCATAGGACCATAAGATATTCTTGATATCGAATAGATATGAGGTAGGTTAGAGGCGGAGAGAAATATTCGTGAGGCTTGAGATATATCTCTTATTATAAATAAGACGACATATCAATCAGTAACGCCGGGATCGGATTATATGTCGCACGTAAAGTAGATAGATGCCTAGTAACTAGAAGGCGACAGCGTTACGTTGGTGATCGATAGTTGATAATATCTTGATTCGTTACGATATTTCGAATGCTACTAAGTAGGATCAATGAATCACGTGTCAGTCAACCTTTATATCTCTCTACAAGGCATCAATGAATGTACTTATACTTATACTTACTAGGTACTTACCTTGAGAAGTAGATAGGTACACGTAGGTACATTGTATATATGTACCTGCCCCCTACCCAGCAACCGGTATGTTTGCGTGTTGCATATGCAGAGTGACTACAGCCTCAACTGGACGGCGCGGACGATTATACTAGTATAGTTGATTGGCTATACGCGTAGGTGCGGCTAGGTACCTATCTACCACTCACATTATTCTATATAAATGTCACCCACTTAACTTTGTGAGCCATTTTCTCCTGCCTCCCATAGACCTCACTATAGATGAATCCTCTGGTGAAAAGTCGGTTCCATTTTCAGCCTCCTACAAGTTCTTGTCCTACAGCCAGTCTATTTTAGAAATGAGCTACCAGCATCTGCTTCCTTGGACCCCAAGTAGGAACCCGAGATGTATCGCAGCTTCGGGGAGGCGGTTACGCAACCTACTGGTCGAATTATGCTACTTATCTATCTCATAACTTTACATACATCTGTGAACAGCACACTCGTCATATAGCATCTGCGTTTTTCGAGGCTACCTCAAGTAAGACAACAGTCTACTCAACTCTGTCCGTGCCCATTCTCTAGTTTAACGAAGTCCACCAAGGCATCATCTTATCAAATGGCAGAAACACTCATTAAAAGCCTTCATCCCAACAAAATCACCCAAAGTCACATCAACTACTTGATAACAGCAAGTGTTATGTGTTTCGCGTCCACGCTCCTAGTTTTACTACGATTCATTCAACGATATAAACTAGTTGCTAGGAGGACATTTTGGTGGGATGACTGGGTTATCCTGGCGGCTCTAATCTGTGCCTATGGAAATTTTGCAAGTGGTATACTAACTAGGTGGACTGGATATCACAGCGAACAATACTCGGTCGAGGAGCTTAACACGTTTGCCAAAGTTAGTCATTCCAGAGTTTTATTCCTACAAATGAAGATTGCTAACCTGAGACCACCGGAAGGACACCCTCGCGGGAGAAACACTCTACAATGCAAGCATCACTTTATCCAAGGCCTCTATCCTGTTTTTTTACAGTCGCATATTCTCTCCAGATAGGAAAGCTCTTATAGTCTTACGCGTTGTTGGCTTCTTTCTGTTCGGATTCTGTATGGCAGCCGTTTTTGGCCTCATATTTGCCGATCACCCTGTCCAGGCCCAATGGAATATCCTGGAGCCCCATACAAGCATTAAAAACAAGAACTTTTGGATCGCGATGGCTAGTATAAATATCGGTCTTGATGTCACCATTCTAGCCATCCCTCAGGCTAAGGTGAGACAATTGCAGATGTCTAGGAAGCGGAAGCTTCTTTTGCAGGGCGTTTTCCTGCTTGGGGGCTTGTGAGTATAACATCTTTTCCCCTTGGCATAGGTATCTTGGGGTTTGAAATTAATGATAACCTTATTCATGACAGTGTTATCATTGCGAGCATTGTACGGATTATATATCTTTGTACTATTGATCTATCAGATGTTACTTGTAAGTCTAATTCCAGTTAATATATTTGCCGCTTAGGGCCTTTGATATTTACAATATTTCTAGACACCATCAACTTGCCAGCAATTTGGACAAACGTCGAGATGAATATGTCGATCGTTTGCGCTTGTCTTCCAGCTGTTTACGGCCTCTTCAAATTCCCACAGCTACACTTTGACGGTTCCCAGTTACGCCATAAACTTTCCATGGCAAGTTCAATTCGCAAACTATTCGGAAACAAGAGCGACGCATCATATACTGATATTGAGCACCTTTCGGGCAATGCAAATCACATTTATATGGCTAGCATACATGCCCCGGGGAAGTTAAATAAGGAGTCTCATGATGCGATACCATTAGGAAAAGTGCACGTCCAAAATGATTTTGCAGTCGAATAGCGCTACGGCAGCCGGGCAGCAAAGTTTCCCATGACGGGTAGGTAATTTTTTATCACAACGCCCACGGAAACTTCTAGACGACTTACCAAGTCTTGTTCTCCCTCTAGAGGAATGAATCATGTCACATACTATATTAAGACAATTTGATAACTCAATCTTTCTATATATGATTTGTACCTACCTCGCTAGTTGGCTCTGACGGCCAGAAACATGTCGGTGTAATAACGACTATAGTAGGAGGTGGCTAAATACCAGCTTTATCCACTGTAATACCGTGATTGAGATCCTAGAACTTTCTTCCATAAGAACCCATTAAGCATTCTAACTCCCTATATTACAGTGGTCGTACACCTATCACGAACCCACCTGTGAGTGTACGTGAAAGCCGTAGGAATTCAGATATTTTGCACTGAGTGGAATTTTTCCCCCGGTGGCTCAGCTACCTAAACTATTTCGGTATCCACCAGAGCATAACGGCTTCATCCACTAGATTATAATGACCGAGTCGCCACTAGACTTATTAATACAGTATCTACTTTCTTCAACAGGGGAACGTAAAAAAGTAGAACTTTTTCAACATCTAACCTAAAGACTCGAAGCTTGGCATGCGTACAATGAAGGATTCCATGAATGCCTCAAACGAGACCTTAATCTTTGATTCCGCGTTGAGTAGCACGAGCTGAAAATGTGTAGATAAAATTTCGCATATCTAATACGCGTCCTAATCAAAAGGCATCCTGGTTTGTACACCATAGGTGCCTATGGTATGTAAGAAGATAGGTGATTGGCTCTATTTAAAGCTTTGCTATCATATCTCGGATTGCGTTAGCAATTGCCTCCACTTCGGAATCTTGGGATGGAACGCCATGTCCCGCGCTATGTAGGACCTGAACTCGATTCTTCTCCTCACACATCTCAAATAACTGCTCTCCCTGACCAGGGTAATCGACATCCTCAGGACTCCAGGCGTGTACGCTCGGAATGTTGATCACTTTGTCGGTGTCACGGGCAAGAAGGAATCGCAATTTAGATTGCTCTAGCTCACCCCAATCACACGGTAGCGTCCCACTTAGAAAGACTGCACTTCTGATTTAACGAGTGGCCGAGTGGCTACCGGGTTGCAGGAGGAGCGTGGCAGCGAGCGCAGCGACGGCGGACGATAGTACCGAATCCGCCAACCCGCCAATTCATTTTATGTATTGCGATGTATACTGTATAAATACATAGTAAGCTTTAATTATTAATATTATATTTTATTATTTATAAAGGTTATAACATTAAAAGGCGTTATAAATTATAAAAAGTTATAACGTTTTTTAATTTATATTATTTATAACGTGTTAAATTTAAACGATAAGTAATTTAAATTTAATATTATATATTAAAAATAGTTTTTTATTTATTTCGTTTAAAAATATACATTCATTTACTTTTAAAATATATTAATTTTATTTAAAAATATATATTTATTTTTTATTAAAATTATAATATATATTAAATAATTAAGTAAAAAATTTATTTTAATTTTTTAATTATAAAATTAATTTATTAATTATATTATAAAATGTTTTATTTATTTTATCCTAGATTTATATTTTTTTTTTATTATTGTTATTTTTTATTATATATTTATATATTTTAAATATAAAATAAAAATATTTTATTATAATAACGAAAAAGATTTTTATATTTATAATTATTAATATTTATAATAAATGTAAGCGGATATTTTATTAAAATATATTATTTATTATTATTTATTATATATGTTTTATTATTATTATTAAAACTTAAAATAAATATAAATAACTTTATTGCGGAATTTTTTTTAATAATAAAAAAAATAATATATTTTAAATTATTATATTATCTTAAATAATTAAATTTAAAAAAATAATTAATAATTTTTTTATTAATTATAAAATTAAAATAAAAATATTTTTTAGGAAAATAACCTTTAAAATAATTATTATTATTATTAAAATTTATATAATTAAATATCGTATTATTTCGATTAAAATTTAATAAATATAAATTTTTATTTTCCTTAATTAATTAACTTTATTAAATCAAATATCGCTAAAATACTTTAAAAAATAAATTTATTATAAATAAAATTATATTATTATTATTAAGAATAAATTATCCTTTTTATATAAAATATTATTATAATTTAAAATAAATATTATTAATAATTAAATTTAAATTCATTTAATTATTAAATGATTTAAATTAAAATTTTAATTATTTAAAACCGGAAGTTACTTCGTTAATAAAAATTAATTTTAATTTAAGTTTATAAAATTTATTTAACTTTAATTTTTTTAAAATTTACTTAAAATTTTTATTTTCATTTTTTTTTAAAACCTTAATAAAATAAATTTAACTTTTATTATTAAATAATAAAATGGTAGCGTTGAAAAAAATAAACCATATAAATTAAATAAAAAAAAACTTAAAAAACGTTATTTTTAATTATAAACATTTTTAATTATAATATTTATAAAAGATAAAAAAATTAACAATAAATAACTTAATTAAAAAATAAAACATATATATCATTAATTTATATTTACTTTATATAAATTTAAATATTAATATAAAATAGTTATAATTAAAAAATTAATAAACATTTATATAAAAACGTAACTTATTATTATAATTATTAACTATATAAATGGAAAAAAAAAATATTAAATATTTTCATATACGATTTAATTTAAACTATTTTTTAATAAATTTTAAAATAATATAAGCTTTTTTTAAACTATATAATTAACTTATAAAATAATAAAATTCATTATAAATAATAAATATAAAAAAATTAATTTCTTAAAAAAAATTTAAAAATAAAACATGTAATAAAAAAAATATAATTTCGTTTAATAATTAATTTAATTAAATAAGAAAAATAAGCGTTATATACCTATATTAAATTAAAAAATTAATTTAAAAATTGGAAACATTAAAATTAAATTTAATATAAATGACTTGCTAAGTTTTAAAAATTTTCGGGGGAAATAATTAATAATTAAAACTTAAGATAATAATGTAAAAAATTTATAAATTTAAAAATTTATATTAATATATTAATTAATAAATAAAAATATAACTTTATATTATAAATATAAACCTTTTATATAAGAATCCTTTACGTTAAATGTATTAAATTTTTCCTAGGATAAACTATTTTTTTTATAATTATTTTCATTATAATAATAATTACACGGAATATAAAAATAATATTTAAATATTTATAAAATATTATTAAATAAAACTTAAATATAATTTTTAGTTTAATAATTAATAAAAAAAAAAAAACTTTTAATATATATTATAATTTTATTTCTATTAACTTTAATTTTAATACTTTTCTTTTAATTATTTTTTTAAATATTTTTAATTATAATATAATATATATAATATGTGATATTATAATAAATACCTTTATTATTAAAAGCATTTAAATTAATAAAAAAATTAAGATTAAAATAATTAAGATAATATATATTAATTTATTTTAAAAGTTTCATTTTATTAAACCCGGTTAAAAAAAATAAAAAAATAAAGTGCGGATAAATTATTAAAAAATTTAAATCCATGACGGATTTTTAATATTAATAAAATAATAATATTATTATATAAATTAATTTATATACAAGTAATAATCCTTTACCACAAGTAAAATAATATAATAAATTTAATATAAATAAAAAAATTATTTACTTAATTAAACGTAAAAAATTATAAAAAATAATAAAATATATTTACATCGATATAAAACTTAAAAAAACTTATACCGGCTTTAAAAATTAGGGATAAAATAAACCCCCCATAAAAATTTAAGCAACATAATATTTTTCGTAAATTCGGGCATTTTATTAAAGGATAAAAAATTATATAAATAATAAATAAAAATAAATAATTATCGTTAAAAAACGTTATTTTATTTATTATTTATAATTGTAATTATAATTTACGAATATTAATTAATTAATATAATTAAATTATAAATAATATAAAATAATAAAACATTATAAAGTATATTTATTATATAATAATTTTATTAAATAAAAATTTAATTATTACCCGTTTTTTTAATTAAAACGCAATGTTAAAAATATAAAAAAATATTATAAATTAATATTAATACGTGTTAATATTTCTTTTAATATATTATATAAATTATTTTTAATTAATTTTAATTAATATAAGAAAAAACTTTTTCCGGTTATTATAATTTTATTTATATTTAATTTTTACATTATTACTTATTTTTCTTATATTTTCATTTTTTAATATAATTAATATATTTTTTTATAATAAAATTTTAAAAACCTTTATAATTAATAATCCCATTTTTAATATTAACTTATAACATTAATATTAATTTTATAATTTAAATTATTTTATTAAGTATTTATATTTTTTATTTTAATTATTTATATAATTATAAACCATTATTTTATTTTTTTATTATTAATGATAATAATATTAATTATAACTTTGTTTATTTAATTTATTATTTTTTAATTAAAAATATATAATTTAATAACTTATATTTATATTTAACGGAATCCGTTATTATTAATATAATTCCCATTTTTTAACTTAATAATAATATATTATATAAGAAAGTATATTTTTTTTTTATCCTAAATAATTTAAATTATAAAATTTTCTTATTTATTTATAAACTTATATATTTATTATTAATTTTTTTAAAATAAAATTAACATAATATATAATTACATTAACTTTTAATTATTAATTATTTCTTTATAAAAATTTATTTCGTTTTTAATAATTATTTATTATTTCTTTATTCTTAATTTTTAAAATTTATATAATATTAAAGTTAATTTATAATGCCGTATATTATTGTAATAAATATTATTAAATAATGTAAATATATTATAATATTTAATAAACTTATATTATTTTTAAAGCTTACGTAACTTGGTTTAATATAAATAACATAAATTAATATAATTATAAAAATTTTAATTTCCCGCCGGTAAATAATTTAGTAAATAATATAATACTTTATTTTAATATTTATTATATATTTAATTAAAAAGAACTTGTTTTATTTCTTAAGTTTATAAAAAGTAAATATAAATTAATATTTTATTTATTACATTTTAAACCATTTATTTTTT